GGCTTCACAAAATACAAAAGATTCTCAAGAAAGGTGACATCCATGGTAATATAAGTATTCTGAGTTGGAGAATGATAACACTTGTAGCATTTCTGATTGTTAGCATACCCAATAAATACACATCGGAGAGCACATGCATTAAGTTTACTCCGCTGACGAGAGTAGACATGCACATACGCAATACACCTAAACACATTTGGAGGAAGTTTGTCACATCCTGGCCCGGGGGGGACCACTTCCCGGGCCCTCTCCACCGCCGTAGCACGATATTGTTCGCTTTGGGCCCCTACCACGTCCTCACGATTTTATTTCTGGGAACTCACACGAGAACTTCCGATGGGTCACCCATCCTGGGAATGCTCTCGCGCGCTACTCGCTTAACTTCAGAGTTCCCATGGAACCCGAAGCCAGTGAGCTCCCAAAAAGACCTCGTGTTAGGTAGGGATGAGAATATACATATAAGGATCACTCCCCTGGGCGATGTGGGATATCACAAAGTTTGGATACAGAAACAAGAGAAACACGTGTTGGGATGGAAACAGAGTAGTCGTTTGGTGAATAATACCTTGATCACCAAAAAAGCATGTCAAAGCGTGATTCACATATTCTCCTTCGTTATTAGACATGAAAACATTAACTTTGATCTAAAACTGAGTCGATAGACCCAAGTTAATCGAGTACAATCATCAATAGAAGTAACAAACCAACGGAATCCATTATAAGAAACCTTTGTCGGACCCCACACATGAAAATGTATTAATCAAATGGCAGAGTAGCTTTCGAATCACTCATGGGAAAGAAAGCATGATGACTCTTAGCCATGACACATGTTTTACACTTGAACTCTGAATCACCACAAGTGCGAAACAAAGAAGGAAATAGATGCTTGATATAACTGAATTATGGATGTCCCAAACGTCGATGCCACAACCAAATTTGATGTATATCATCCACTTTAGCACTTAGAATTTGATGAGTATTTGAACTTGAAACAATAGTATCCTCCATAGTCAAGATGTACAACCCCCAATTCTTTTACCACAACCAATTATCTTCTGAGTTTGAATGTCTTGAAAATAACAATACGTGGGGTAGAAGTAAGTAGAACAATATAAAGTATCAAGTAGTTTTCCTACCAACAAAAGATTGCACTTAACATCAGGAACAAGTAAAGTATGGACTAGTGATAAGGTTGGAGTAAGAGAGATAGTGCCTTCACCCTTCACAGGGGAAGGTGCTCTATTTGCACTAGTAATATACGGATCACGAACATAGTCACGTAACTCATTAAACACTCTAGGTTCACCAGTCACATGATCAGTGACCCTAGTATCAATTATCCATATATTTGTTCCACCAATATAATAACAACATTGTTATTATATTGAGCAATTTAACTAAACCACAAACAATAAAAGCACAAAAAATACGTAGCAGAATTAAAACAATTTACCAAAATTTGTAGCAGACCACTAATCACGACACTGTTCACTTTTTATTTTTTTAACAAAAGAAATCACTACAAAGATGGGCCCAAATTTGGAGATTGGACAAACCACTGAATAAAAAAGAACAATCAGTTCAAAGTTTCCTGTTTATTTTGTTTTCTTTCCACATTATTGTACAAGAAGCCGTCAATAACAATTTACAATAATAATTTTATAACCAAATTAATTCATAGAACCGATGGATCCATATTCCGAGAGGTTTTGTAAGCCAGATTGTGACAGGGTGTCTAGCCCATTTGGCAGCGAGTCCGACCAAAAAAGGCAAAACCGATATGAACACAGTGATAAAGATCCATATGTTATCTGGTGAAATGTTGACAACTGCAGTGCTGTAGGTGGAGTATATCGGCATGATGCAGATGTGAAGCTCCAACTGGAGAGGGAAATTGGATGTGAGGACAATCATCGTGTAAAGAGAAGAGTAAAATCCAATCGAGTTGAGAACCACAAAAATGATGAATGTACGTTCACTATAAGAACCCATGATGGACTGTCCTGCCGAGTGTACTGGTTCATTGCTGCTGCCAGTCCCATTATTATTCACGTCACTGCTGTCCTGCCAATTCCCATTTGGCGGGTTGAGTCCCAGTTGAAAAGTGGCTGTAGCCACTAGTGAAGCGACAACTAGCAGCGCGGTACATGCGTCGCTAGGACTCTCTGCCCTTTTTGAACTGGAAGTATTCCCACGTATTTGTCTTCTGCTGCTGCTGCTGCAACTGATGAGTCTCTGATGCCGTGTGTGTATGGTTATGGCTATGAGAACTGAACCATTGGACACCAGAGTGGACTATATCTCCTGCTCTCAAAGCTCCAGCACCACGAAGGATTGCCTCCATTTCCCAATCACCGGTTTCATTTGGGAAGACCAGATCCAAAGCTGTGAGATCCCAATCGTTTACAGAATTTACTTCCAAGGCTCCTGCAATTGTTTCATTTCCAACTAATCCTTCCACCACCTTCGAGCATTAGTCAACTAACAAATCATTATGGACTAAAATTCTAATGACTAAAGAAAAAGGAAAACTAATGAAAATGACTTGAAATTTTGAATTTTAACGATAAAGACAAAATAAAGGGTAAAGTGAATAGTACCAGGATTGATTTTTTAGTGTAAATATATGGTTTTTCGTTAAAGTAAACAGTACCACGGACTTTTCGTTAAAACTACCTAAAGAAAAATGGGTACTGATCAACAGTTCTAATAGTACTTGCCCGATGTTGTTTTTTCCAGGTTGCTAGATGAAGAACTGAGTCGCCATGCTTATCCTTCATATTCAGGACGTTCACCTTGTTCGTTTCTGCAATCAATTCCACCAAAAATTTAATTGCTTTAAACTGGCTGCACTTAACAGCAAGGTGAATAACAGTCTCCCCTTGTACGGTCACATCTTCAACACTTTCTGGACAAGCCAAGACCATTTCTCTAATTACGTCTACCCACCCTCTGCTAGCGGCGTAATGAAGAGGAGTCCACTCATCTCTTCCATTTAGCCGGCAGAGTCTCCGGTCAACTCTCAGCATCTCCCTTACAATTTGGACATCTCCCGTCTGACAAGCATCAAACAGCCTTGCATCCATTGCAAAGGGTTGTGTTAATTGATAAGCACCTCATCTCCATTGAGTGTGTCTATATATATATGCCTGAGCAGGTGAATAGTTTTTCACTAGATGAAGAATAGCTTGACATACTCAAGGTTCAAATGCGTGTGAACCCGGGATGCAGCACTCTCAAGGTCAAAGAATTCTTCACTGCATAAACATAACCTGTTCGGGTTTGTTAAGGTACAAAATTCCAGGATCAGACACGTAGCGGACTAATTGTTTGAACTCTATTCATGTAAATTCATAATCTATTTACGAGATAACTATAATAATTCAGGATAAACTTAGTCTAATCTTTCAGTCAAATTTCGTGACATCATATAGTGGCCTCAGCCTCATTCGTTGGAAGTACGAAACAATATTGCAGATATCTGAATGGCCAAAGCACAACAAAGAATTCTTCACTATATAAGCCTAACCTGTTCGGGTTTGTTAAGGTACAAAATTCCAGGATATACCTATAAGAATTCTTCACTATATTGCTTCTATAGTTAGTTCAGCACCAATCAATTGAGCCCTGAAATCTTTCAATGGAATTGAAGTTTCCCTTGCTAGAATCACTGTTTTAACTACATCAAACTCAGATGGCAAACCAGTTAATGCAGCAATCACCAAATCATTATCTGTCACTCTCTCCCCTGCAGCAATAAGCTGATCTCGAATTGCCTTCAATTTGAGCAGATATTTGTCTATAGAATCACCACCCTTTTGAATCGTATGAAATTCAGTCTTAAGTTGATTTATTCTAGCCCGGGATATGGAAGCATATCTGTCTTATAAGTTTGTCCAGGCCTCATGAGAAGTTTTGCAACCAATCACATACTCCATTGCATCATCGGAAAGAGTGGCAATTAGCAAGCTCAACAGCGCCATATCTTTTTGAACCCAAGATTTATACACCTCAGTAATCTCTTTAGTTACTCCAGTTTCAGTATCAATCACGAATTTTGGTGGACAAGGTGACTCACCAGTAAAGAAATCCAAGAAATCATACCTTCTCAAAACTGACCGAAACTGATAATCCCACTTCACAAAATTATCATCTTGCAGCTTAACTGTTAGCATTCCCAGCAAATTCTCAATTCTCACTGACTTATCAGCCATTTTGATGGCTAAACACTTTCAAGAAAGAACAATATATTCCTAATTTCCACAAATTCTCAGAGACAACAACTCACTATACTTCACAAATGCAATAGAGCAACAACTTCAACTCGATATACTTGGCAAATTCACCAACTTTCTGGTTTCAACCATCAGCAATTATCAATTTCAATAAGAACTATATACCCAAACAGTCTTGGCATCGGCCTTTTTCACAATACACAATTCACAAACTTCAGTCTTGTCAAACATTCTTGGCATTGGCCTTATCAACTTCAATGAAAACTATACACTCTAACATTCTTGGCATCGGCCTCAATCATATACAGAAAAGAACCCAGATACAAACAACCAAACAAACACCCAAAATCGCCATAATTCTTCACTGATGCAAAAACACAAACACTTGGTGTGCAGAAATAAAGGAGAAAAGTAATCGACCTGATACTCTGTTCAGCAACTCAAGAATCGAAGAAAACCAATCAGCAAAACTGCAAGAACTGCAGCGAACCACCAAGAACTTCAACTAACTCGTCAGCGGAAGTGATAGCACCAAGGATCGTCCTGGCGATTGATACCATCTTAACAAAAGTAACCAGAGTTTTTCAGTAGATGAAGTACTGTTAAAACAAGAAATATGTTTGTCAAGTTCAAAGAATTCTTTACTACATAAGCCTAACCTGTTCGGGTTTGTTAAGGTACAAAATTCCAGGATATACCTATAACGATTCAGGATAGCTTTACAATAAAATAAATCCATTCAAATTTGGGGATTGGACAAACCTGTGAATAAAAAAGAACAATCAGTTCAAAGTTTCTTGTTTTTTTTTTTTTTGTTTTTTTTGGTTCACTGGGAAATTTTCATTCCAGGGCAAAGATGCCAGAACATACAGAGAAAGCCTACAAACGAGGCAAACAAGATTAACATAGAAAGAACAGTGTAGAGGGGTACAAGACGGGGGACGCTGCAACCATGCAGAGGCGTCGCCCCCTACACTGCCAAAGTAAACTTAACGAGGACAAGGTATTCCGTCATTATTCAGTACATGCACCAACGAAGATGGGGCCTATCGACCCAAATGATATCACAATAATTTTATCGGAAAATTAATTCAGAGAACCGAAGGAACCATTTTCCGAGAGGTTTTGTAAGCCTGATTGTGACCGGGTGTCTAGCCCATTTGGCAGCAAGTAAGACCAAAAAAGGCAAAACCACTATGAACACGGTGATAATGAGCCTGGTGTTATAGGATGGTGCAATGTTGATAACCGCAGTGCAGTAGGCGAAGTATAGCGCTCCGATGCAGATTTGAAGCTCCAACTGGAGAGGGAAATTGGCTGTGAGGACGCACATGGTGTAAAGAGAAAAGTAAAATCCAATCGAGTTGAAAACCACAAAATAGACGAATAAAAATTTACTATAAGAACCCATGATGGACTTTCCTGCCTCGTGTACTGGTTCATTGCTGCTGCGAGTCCCATTATTATTCACACCACTACTGTTCTGCCAAATTCCATTTGGAGGGTTGAGTCCCACTTGAAAGGTGGCCGTAGCCACTAGTGAAGCGACAACTAGCAGCGCAGTACGTGCATCGCTAGGACTGTCTCTGCCCTTTTTGAACTGGAAGTATTCCCACCTATTTGTCCTCTGCTGCTCCTGCTGCAACTGATGAGTCTCTGATGACGTGTGGTTATGGTTATGGCTATGAGAATTGGAGAATTGGACACCAGAGTGGACTATATCTCCTGCTCTCAAAGCTCCAGCACCACGAAGGATTGCCTCCATTTCCCAATCACCGGTTTCATTTGGGAAGACCAGATCCAAAGCTGTGAGACCCATATCGTTTACAGAATTTACTTCCAAGGCTCCTGCAATTGTTTCATTGCCAAGTAATCCTTCCACCACCTGCGAGCATTAGTCGACTAACAAATCAATATGGGCTAAAATTCTAATGACTATAAGAAAGAAAAATGGGTACTGATCAACGGTTCAAATAGTAGTTGCCTGATGTTGTTTTTTCCGGGTTGCTAGATGAAGAACTGAGTCGCCACCATGCTTATCCTTCATATTCAGGATGTTCACCTTGTTCCTTTCTGCTACCAATTCCACCAAATAATTAATTGCTTTAAACTGGCTGCACTTAACAGCAAGGTGAATAACAGTCTCCCCTTGTACGGTCACATCTTCAACACTTTCTGGACAAGCCATGACAATTTCTCTAATTACGTCCACCCTCCCTCTGCTAGCGGCATAATGAAGAGGAGTCCACTCATCTCTTCCCTGTAGCCGGCAGAGTCTCCGGTCATTGTCAACTCTCAGCATCTCCCTTACAATTTCCAAATACCCATTGGCCGATGCAATATGCATGGGGCTAAAACCATCCTGGTTCATTTCTTCAACATAATCTGGTTTCAACCTCACAATCTCCTTGACAAAGTCGACATGCCCAGCAATCGAAGCAACATGTAAAGGATTCTCCGTGGAAGTTAGCGCAACTCTATGGAGTAGAAGTGGATTCTCTGCCAGCAATTCATGCAAAAGTCGGACATCTCCCGTCTGAGAAGCGTCAAATAGCCTTGCATCCATTGCAAAGCTTTGGGCCTTGGGGTTTAGGGCGAAATGAAGAGGTTTATACCTGATCAACGGTTCAAATAGTACAAGGCGAAATGAAGAGGTTTATACCTGCTCGAGGGGGTTCTCTGTGCTCCCGTGCTTCACTGAGACGAGGGAGAGAGAGAAAGAGAGGGAAAAGTCCTGCGATGGTGGGGATGTGCCGTCGGCGTCGGGATGATGGTTGGTAAGCACCAGCCGCACCAAGGAGACAAGATTGCAGAGAAAAGGAAAAGTTGCAGGTTAAAAGATAAGTTGTTATTTCATAACCTTCCCGGAAACTACAAAAGGGTTGTATATACCCCATAACCGCTACCACAGACAAAAGTTTAAGTGGCCCCAAGTACTCAGTCACCATATCCTAATATCCCACTACCAGATAAGTAAAATAAGCTAAGGAAATAGGCTACAACATAATGAGGTTAAAACAGAGCACCCTTAGATCAACTCTAATGGTTAAGCTGAAAGTTAAATTTTTTAGCTCGGAAAATTTAGCTTTTAGCCCATAAATAACTTTTCTGCTCCAACCCTTCTGGCTTAAAATTTTAGCTTGAGATTATTAAAGAATGAACTTAGGCTATTTTTTTTTCTTAAATTAAATTTAAAAAAAATATATATATGTAGACTATCATAAATTAATTTTATGAACATTTTAATTTAGAAATATTTAAATTCCAATAAATATTGAAAAATCACTAAATTTTCTACAAGGCAAGCCTTCAACTGTCACCAATCTTTCAACCCTGGGCTAACTTTCAATTCACCAACCGTTCAACACCAAATTTTCAACTTTCATCAACCGTTCAACACCAAATTTTCAACTTTCACCAACCGTTCAACTTTCATCAATCATACTCTTATTTTGATTTGTGCCAACTGCACCATCTTCGCTACTAGAAACTCATGCCAAGCATAAAGCAACATCTTCCTCATTGGTCCAATTACGACCTCTAATATGCTCTCTTGCCATGTTGAACAATTTGGAAATGGAAAGAAATGGTAGAAAGATAGAATTGTAGGAGAAAATTAGTTTTGTGTAGATGTTTGAACAAATACATAGGTATTTATAGAGTTTTTGGGTGAATTTTGAGTTAAATAATTTTTTTTAATTATTTTAGCTGTTCGATTTAAATTTGGGCCGTTAGATCTTTTTTTTTACCGTTAGATTTGATTATATTCAATCTCAGCTGTTGGATTCAATGTATTTTAAAATAACATATTCTAAAAAAATTAAATTTGAATTTGGACCATTGGATCAACCAATGGTCCTTAAAGCCCAACCCTTGGATTAAAATTATAGCCGTTGGGATTCTTTAGGTGGTCGACACGTGGCTGATAGCAGGGCCCACCCCTGTCGAGAAAGCTTTCGCGTAGGGCGGGCCAAGACTGGCCCAATTGCCAGCGAGTCCACTCACATGGGGGGGGGGGGGCGGAATTTGGCCCAGCTTTGGCATTTGGCTTTTAGCCCAATGTTTTAACATGGGTTGGGTGGTGATTGGGGGGGGGGAATAAATGAGGAAATTTGGCTTTTAGCCCACCATTGGAGTTGGTCTTAGAACAATCATGTCATCAGGCGACAAAATCAAGGAAACGGCTCAAAATGGAATCGGTATCTTCCTAAGTGGTGTCATGCTCTGGTAGACCTATCCATTTAATTAACCAACGAGTGACAGCCTTGTTATCACACTTGAACATTCCATGTTGTAGGATGCGTTCCGGAAACCAGAAGAAGAACCCATCGGAAAAGACCAGGGGAAGTGTGGCTGAAGCAACGACATGTGTACCGATTTTGAGCTTGAGCAGCGACACATGAAATGTAGGGTGGATGCGGGACTGAGATGGAAGGTCCAAAGTATAGGCAACCTAGTCGACTCGAGCTATCACTTGGAAATGGCCATAATAGCGAGGAGCCAGTTTTGGGTAGTGAGTTTTGGATACTGATATCTACCGATAGGGGTGAAGTTTGAGGAAGACCCAATCCCCAACTTGAAAAGTCATCTTAGAGTGATGTTTATTAACCTGTTGTAGCATTCGGTGTTGTGTCAGCTACATGTTCTCGCGTAGTTGCCTGAGCAAACTGTCACGGTCTTGGAGAGTGATGTTGCCCATGTAGACTGGAGATGAGCCGGGGAGATAAGATGACACTGTGGGTGGCGGGTATCCATATACAACATGGAAGGGTGTCATCTTAATGGTTGACTGGAATGTAGTATTATACCACCATTATGCCCAAGGAAGCCATCGAATCCAAGTGCTTGGCTTGTCCATAATGAAGCTACGCAGATAGTGCTCCAAGGTACGGTTGAAAACTTCTGTTTGTCCATCCGATTACGGGTGATACGCTGAGCTTTTGCAAAGCACTGTTTGTTGATTTTTGAAAAAGCCTTCCAAAACTCACTAGTGAAAATCGGATCTCTATCGATGATAATAGATGTTGGCATGCCGTGTAACCGAAAGACCTATTGAATAAAGACATCTGCAATTTGGGGGGCAGAATAAGGGTGCTTGATTAGGATGAAATGCCCATATTTGGAAAGGTGATCCACTACGACCAAGATAGCATTGTGACTGTGGGTCAAGGGTAAGCCTTCTATAAAGTCCATGGCTATATTGATCCACACTTAGGTTGGAGCGGAGAGTGGCTGCAATGGACCTGGTGGTTTGATGGTCTCATAGTTGGTGCGTTGGCACATTTCACACTCGGCCACGAAACGCTTGACATCCTTTTTAAGACCCGGCCAATCGAAATTATTCGTGATACGCTTATAGGTGCGTAGGAATCCCGAGTGGCCCGAAGATGGAGAAGCGTGGAATTCCTAGGGAAGTGTGGAGCGCCAGGAAAATGTTGCAAGAACAAAAAGGCTAGATTTGTAATAAAGGAGGTCCCCTTGGAGTTGGAAAGAGCGCTTACTGTGCGGATCATGTTGCAGTGCGGTGAGGATGTCGTAAGCTTGAGTGTCTGTGGCATATGAAGCTTGAAGCTCTACCACGCAATCAAACAGTGGTATGGAGAGCCCCATCAGGGCAAGGAGTTCCGGCCAGCGGGACAAGGCATCAGCGGCTGTATTGGAAGCTCCTAAGCGGTACTCCAAGGTATAGTTATACCCGAGGAGTTTTAATAACCACTTATGTTGTGCCAGAGTGGTCATACGCTGGTCTAAAAATACCGAAGTGTTTGGTGGTCTGTGAGTATCTTGAAGTGGTGATCAATCAAGTATGGGTGCCACTTTTGGACGGCGAACACCACCGCAAGCATCTCTTTATCATACACGGAGAGGGTTTAGTGTTTGGGTGCCATAGGCTTACTAAGGAACTTGATGGGGTGGTGGTCCTGAGATAATACGGCCCTGATACCGACATTGGAAGCATCGCACTCAATGGTGAAAGGTTTGGCAATAAGACCAAAGTGGCAAACGAACTTATGGTAATAACCGGCAAGACCCAAAAAACCCCGAAGAGCACGGACAAAAGAAGGGGTCGGCCATACCACAATGGCAGCAATTGTATAGGGATCAACTGTAACTCCCTTAGCTGAGATGATATGCCCTAAATAAGCAATGGATTCTTGCCCAAAAAGACACTTAGTTGGCTTCAAATGTAGTTGATGTCGCTGGAGGATATCAAATACAGCAGCTAAATGTGACATATGCTGATCCAAAGAGGCGCTGAACACCAAGATGTCATCAAAAAACACGAAGATTGATTTGCGGAGTAGAGGCTTCAAGATGGAATTCATTAAGGCTTGGAATGTGGCAGAGGCGTTAGTAAGGCCAAAAGACATTATAGTGCACTCGTAATGATCATCGTGAATGCGGAACGCTGTCTTGTGTATGTCCGGCTTGTGCATACGAATTTGTTGATAACTGGAGCAAAGGTCCAGTTTTGAAAATCTAGCCGCACCCTTCAACTCGGCCAAGAGCTCATCAATAATTAGAACTGGAAAACAATCCTTGATGGTGACGGCATTAACCTCGCGGTAATCAACACAAAAACGCAAAGAATAGTCACTTTTGGCCACCAATAAAGTAGGGGAGGAGAAGGAACTTACGCTGGGACATATGATGCCAGCGGTGAGCATCTCATCGACCTGATGCTCTAGTTCCGCCTTCTATGCATTCCCATAACGATATGGTTGTACATTAATTGACACGTCCCTGGAAATAAGGGAATGCGGTGGTCAATGTCTCAGTGTGGTGGTAAAGAGGTGGGTGGTTAAAGAAGGACATGACACTGGCGTAGAAATGCTTGGATATTGGCCGAGGAAGGTGCAGGAGTTGAAGAGGACGAGGAAGTGTTTTGAAGAGCCTGAGCATGAGCAAGAGAAGAGGGGTTGCTTTGTTAAAGAACAGCATACGAGGCGTGGGGACCGTTGTAAGTGTGTTGATTAGGGAGAAAGAGAGGGAAAACACGACGCCGCCGCTGACACCACCGCCGGAGCAAAAATTTGCCAAGAACTCGAGTTCTTCTTCGTCGACTTCATCGGAGTGGGTCAAAGTTAGGCAGATAGGGAAGCATTACAAGGAGTTATCGGCATTGCATTTGTGTCAAGTGATTCAAGCTCACGAGGGGGCAAGTAAAAAAAGCCGATTTTTCAAAGCTGGGTTTTGCAGCTTTGTGTTTTTTGCTTTTTTTCATCCAAAACTGTGAAAAAAAAATTTGGAGTTGAATGTTTACCAAACACAAAAAAGCTTCCAACTTTTTTTTATACCCACTTTTTTCAGAGCACCTCAATACCAAATCAGGGCTTAATTTAAAAGCACTAATTTCCACTAATCAATCACGAATAGATTAAGGTTCATTTTTATTTTAACCGGTGCAAGATGAGCATAACAGCAATTGATCAAGTTGATCTTATCAAATTTTAACTCAGTTGCATAAGCACTAAGAATCTCTGAAATACACTTCCATTATTCTGTGACAGCAAAAAGCAATACAAGATACAATATGACATCATACAAACACTTAAACGACACAATCCAAGGACATATTTTGATAATCCAGTAAGGTATCGACTTCTATGTACAGCGAGTGTGTTAACCGGATCATCTACCGACTAAGTTCTAGAGTTCCCGGACAACCAAAACCATCTTCGATACTGCGTAAGCCGTAGAGCGCGTACTCTTCCTCTATCTGTGGACGAGACTCCATCCGAGAGGTTAGTGCATCACTCCCAATCTGTGTCGAGGAAACGGCATCTTTCATCTCTGAATAGTACACATTCTCCAAATGTAAATCTTCCTCCTGTTTTCATCCAAACGTCAATTACCAATAGGAAACGAATACTAATAATAATACTATCGATAAGAAACACAGAGTTGCAAATACCTGGAAGAAGTCTGCCAGAAATGTATGTCTTCCATTATTCTATTGGAGTGTGCCTATATATATGCCCGAGCAGGTGGCTAGTTTCTCAATAGATGAAGAATAACTTGACATACTCAAGGTTCAAATGCCCGTGAATCCGAGGTGCAGCACTGTTAAAACTCAAAAATATGTTTTTCAAGGTCAAAGAATTCTTCACTATATAAGCATGGATACCTATAACGATTCAGGATACACTTTGAATAATCTTTCAGTCGAATTTTCGTGACATTATATGGTGGAACATCTGCATCGGGGTCAATCCTCGGAAGTAAACTAATAAAGTCAACATTTCTAGGTTTGAATGCACTCAGATTCAATTCAAAAGGAAGCTCTGAAATGGCAGTAAACCACACTATTTATCTCTACGAAATAAATAGTGGAAATAAACAATCAGTTCAAAGTTTCTTGTTTATTTTGTTTTCTTTCCACATTATTGTACAAGATGCCTTCAATAACAATTTACAATAATAATTTTATAACCCAATTAATTCAAAGAACCGATGGATCCATTTCCCGAGAGGTTTTGTAAGCCAGATTGTGACAGGGTGTCTAGCCCATTTGGCAGCAAGTCCGATCAAAAAAGGCAAAACCAACGTGAAGACGCTGATAAAGAGCTTGCTGTTATACGATGGTGCAATGTTGATAACCGCAGTGCTGTAGGTGGTGTATACCGCTATGATGCAGATTTGAAGCTCCAACTGGAGAGGGAAATTGGCTGTGAGGACGATCATGGTGTAAAGAGAGAAGTAAAATCCAATCGAGTTGAGAACCACAAAAATGACGAATGAAACTTCACTATAAGAACCCATGATGGACTTTCCTGCCTCGTGTACTGGTTCATTGCTGCTGCGAGTCCCATTATTATTCACACCACTACTGTTCTGCCAAATTCCATTTGGAGGGTTGAGTCCCACTTGAAAGGTGGCCGTAGCCACTAGTGAAGCGATAACTAGCAGCGCGGTACGTGCATCGCTAGGACTGTCTCTGCTCTTTTTGAACTGGAAGTATACCCACCTATTTGTCTTCTGCTGCTCCTGCTGCAACTGATGAGTCTCTGATGACGTGTGGTTATGGTTATGGCTATGAGAATTGGAGAATTGGACACCAGAGTGGACTATATCCCCTGCTCTCAAAGCTCCAGCACCACGAAGGATTGCCTCCATTTCCCAATCACCGGTTTCATTTGGGAAGACCAGATCCAAAGCTGTGAGACCCCTATCGTTTACAGAATTTACTTCCAAGGCTCCTGCAATTGTTTCATTGCCAACTAATCCTTCCACCACCTGCGAGCATTAGTCGACTAACAAATCAATATGGACTAAAATTCTAATGGCTAAAGAAAAATGGGTACTGATCAACGGTTCAAATAGTACTTGCTTGATGTTGTTTTTTCCGGGTTGCTAGATGAAGAACTGAGTCGCCACCATGCTTATCCTTCATATTCAGGATGTTCACCTTGTTCCTTTCTGCTACCAATTCCACCAAATAATTAATTGCTTTAAACTGGCTGCACTTAACAGCAAGGTGAATAACAGTCTCCCCTTGTACGGTCACATCTTCAACACTTTCTGGACAAGCCATGACAATTTCTCTAATTACGTCCACCCTCCCTCTGCTAGCGGCATAATGAAGAGGAGTCCACTCATCTCTTCCCTGTAGCCGGCAGAGTCTCCGGTCATTGTCAACTCTCAGCATCTCCCTTACAATTTCCAAATACCCATTGGCCGATGCAATATGCATGGGGTTAAAACCATCCTGGTTCATTTCTTCAACATAATCTGGTTTCAACCTCACAATCTCCTTGACAAAGTCGACATGCCCAGCAATCGAAGCAACATGTAAAGGATTCTCTGTGGAAGTTAGCGCAACTCTATGGAGTAGAAGTGGATTCTCTGCCAGCAATTCATGCAAAAGTCGGACATCTCCCGTCTGAGAAGCGTCAAATAGCCTTGCATCCATTGCAAAGCTTTGGGCCTTGGGGTTTAGGGTTTAGTTATTAGGCGGGTTGGGTTTAGGGGAAAAGATCTTAAGGAATTTGGGCTTAGGGCCCAGCCAAAAAGGCCCAGGACCTGAGGTGAAGGAGGGTCGGGGTAGCCGGAATCTGGGCTCGAGCAGCACGGCACGCCAGGGTTCTCTGTGCTCCCGTGCTTTACTGAGACGCGGGAGAGAGAGAGAAAGAGAGGGAAAAGTCCTGCGATAGTGGGGATGTGCCGTCGGCGTCGGGATGATGGTGGGTGTGGGTGTGTGTGTAGCCGGAGAGGGAAAGAGAGTGAGAGGGTTTCGAGAGAGTGCACTGGAAGTGAGAGAGAGAGAGAGAGAGAGAGAGAGAGAGAGAGAGAGGAGAGGGTCATGGGGTGGGGGGAAAAAGAGAGAGATGGGGAAGCTGAAGAAGTGCCGAATTTGTACTCCCTATTTATACTGAATCATATGTTCATTATTGCTAAGCTTCTTGGAATGTTTATTTGTATTTGCGAAGCTTCTTGAAATGTTTATTTGTATTTGCGAAGCTGCTTGAAAAGTATACGCAAAGCTGCTTGGAGTGCTTATTTGTATTTGCGAAGCTGTTTGGAAAGTATACATGCGAATCTGCTTGGAATATTTATTTGTATATGCGAAGCTGCTGCTTGGAAAGTATACACGAGAAGAGTATACACGAATCTGATGTTTATTTGTATTTACGAAGCTACTTGGAAAGTATACGCGAAGCTGCTTGGAATGTATACGCGAAGCTGCTTGAAATGGTTGGTTGTGGTCCTGTTGTATATGTGAAGCGGCTTGGAACGGTCGTGGTCTAGTTGTATACACCATATCAACTACAATATGAACCCTAGTTGGGCCACCATTAACAGCTGATGAAACTTGAACTAAAGCTCATTCAGAACACAAACAATCTCACTTAGTGGAGACAAACACATAGTTTAGTCAAACTACTATATTCCTGTGGCGGGCGGCTTCGGCAATAGCAACATAAATTATGGGTTTTACCCACGGTTTTTTTTTTTTTTTTTTACAGGTTGACAAGTTTAAATGATTCAAGTTTTGTGTCCCAATGGGAATATAATTCGGATAAGACAAAACGATATTGGGAAAAATTTGCGAATACGAAGAATATAAAGTAGATTTTGCCCACTATTCGACAAAGGCAAGGGTACTATTTATAAAAAAGAAACTATAACAATGGTTTCTTAATTTTAACTAAATTTGATTATTAGTCCTTTAATTTTTTACCCCTATTTATCTAACATCTAATATAACAAATCTATCGTTTGACAAAAAAAAAAAAAAAAAAAAAATGAGCATTAGTCTCTCAACTAAAACATGACCATTAAGCCGTGTTTGTTTGGCCTCCTTAGCTAGGATTGGCTTTAAAAACTGTCCTAGTCCCTTGTTTGGTGCGGGTAAAGGACTAGGTTTAATGGGACTATAAACGGAACTTGCGTTCGCTAAGGGCTTCACTACTAAAACTGTGCAAAAGGTTGGGATTAGTAGTCTTGTTTCTTCATCCTATCGTTTTCGCCCATTTCAGTGGGAACCTCTCCATTATGAACATCCACTCCAAGCGCTGCAGGATCTTGAGCGCCTCGCCATCTTCATCATTTTTAGCTTATGTTGCAATTATTTATGACATCTTACTGATTAAGAAAAAGCTTTACATGTGCAATTATTAAAAAGATATCTAATTGCGCAATAATTAGTTTTTCCGACTAGGGTTTTCGAGTTATTTGGCTATTCTCTCTCTCTCTCTCTCTCTTCTTATTTTTTTTTTGTTACATGTAATAATTTATGGTCAATGTGATCTCATATCTATTTGATTAATGGGACTTTTAGATCCAGGTCCAAAAACATATAGTGTTTTTAGGAGTGTGACAGCCCGTCCCGGACTTTTCGTACCGTAGGGGTGAAATGACGATTTTGCCCCTAGCATGGTTGTTTCGTTGTGTGGTTGTTTTTGGGTGTTGCTTGGCTGATTTTGGACCACACTCACTCACCCTCTCTCTCTGCCCTGTCCCGAGCCCTCTCTCTCTCCCATTCCTATTCTCTTTGTACGGACAACAACCAAAACCATCCAAACCTTCACAGATCGAGGAAACAAATTACATATTCGTGTTCATGAGGTCCGTAGGAGTTCAATCATACCCATTTCAGGTAAGGATACCTTCGTTTTCACGTCGAACTCGGGAACCCTGGCCGTGGTGTGCCGACGAGGACGTCGGGCCCCTAAGGGGGGTGGATTGTAAGATCCCACATCGCCCAAGGGAGTGATCCTTATATGTATATTCTCATCCCTACCTAGCACGAGGCCTTTTGAGAGCTCACTGGCTTCGGGTTTCATCGGAACTTCGAAGTTAAGCGAGTAGCGTGCGAGAGCAATCCCATGATGGGTGACCCACTGAGAAGTTCTTGTGCGAGTTCCCAGAAATAAAACCGTGAGGGAATGGTAAGCCCAAAATGGATAATATCATGCTATGGTGGTTGAGCGGGCCCGAGAAGTGGTGAGGCCCGGGCGGGGATGTGACAATTTACCTATGCATATTCTTGCCTAGTATTTACTATCCACATGCATATTCATGTTATACTAAATGTAATGTTCACTGTCATTCACTTATTCATCGGATATTTAACAATATTTTTTTCCTTGCATTTTTTTCCATGTTGAATTGTCAAGCAACAAAGAATATAAACTTATACGAATTTTGTTTTTTCATTGTTAATCTACTGATGCTAGGGATAATTTGAGCTTTTACATTCTTTTAAACATTTTTCATACTTAACTTGCAGAATCAATGTCACTGTACACCTTTTCGTAACTGTTTGTTCCGTCTGTCTCCCTTTTGTGTAATTTTAGTTAATTGAACTACTCTCTTTAGCTTAAGATTGAACTGAAGTGCTAAGAACTTAGTTAAATGAAAGTTTACTTTAGTTTGATGACATTTTGGTGTTTGGTATTGAGTGCATGATTATTAGGTCCACAATCATTGGATACATAATCTTTCATATGTTTTCACCATAATATATCATAATTCCGCAGCAACGTGTGAGTCACACTTTCTAATATTTTGCAAATCCAGTAAGATATCGACTTCTATGTACATCGAGTGTGATAACCGGATCTTCCTGTGATTAAGTTCTTTCTTCTTTTTATTCAAACCAAACTCCTCCAGCTAACGAGAATATTGACAGATTTTTCACGAAATGATGACAAATTAAGGGACCATTCTCAAGCTCCGATAGTGCGGAAATAATTAAGGGACCATCCTCAAGCTCTTGGAATTTTTTGAACCACTCTATGAATAGCATGACATGTAAATAATTGATTGTGTACCAAAAATTAGTAAAAGAATGTGTAAGAGTATTATATATGAAACTATATTATTTGGAGAGAGGATACTCACCGGATCCTCTTTGTAAGGATCTGCCGGATCCTCCTATCACGTCTGTTCATCGTACATCGTGCGGTCCGAAATCATTGTAATTTTTGTATTTAAAATTGACTATAAACCGTACCTGACGAAAATTGACCGCACGATGTACGATTAACGGATGTGATTGGAGGATCCGGTTGTTGGAAATTATATATTATAATTAATATTATAATTTTTAATTTTTGTATGAATGAAAAATAAGAGTCATGTGTCATAATTGAGTTCAAATTTATGAGTTGTATCTTTTCGTTGGAACTTTAGGCAATAATCATAATGTTTCAAAAAGGGTGGCTTGAGTTTTATATAAACTCAAGCATCCCACCTGTCTAATAGAATTAAGAGAAAAGTTTTCTCTAATGTCTTAGGAAAAATCGGAATCGTGTCTTGAGAGTACGGAATATATAAAGTTCGCCAGAGTCCGAAGATTGAAGTGCATTGACTTTAGATTATAGATTGTTGAATCCTGAGAGACAGACGCGTACCGAACTACAAACACAAGAGTATGGACGAAAATTTTTCTTTAGGACATTGCATTTATACAAGCCTCAATATCCAAATTTATCAGTGTTTCTAACTTTCTGCTTAATTGTTTATATTAATCTTGTATACTATTGATGTTGTATACAATTGAAACAGCTTAAATAACTTTGCAAAATGATTGTGTATGTAGATTAACACATGCAACGATGTAAAGTCTAACTTACGGATACTATTGCCCGTCCGGTAGGAATGATTGCGAGCAGGCTTGCGAACAGGTCAGCTATGGACAGTTCAGTAAATATCACAGGTCAGCTGGAAGTTGGCCAACTTTTTGGGACTGTAACTAAAAACCTGGAATGCAAAATAAATTCAGACTATTTAGTCACGTATAGTAAGAGTTTAACTGAAATTTATCAAGCATACTCCAAAAGGGGCGATGATAACTTTCTTGGCACAAACCTTGAAAATCAGGACAATTGTGACCAATACAACCCAAGAGAATCCGTAAATCCGAAGAGATTTTTCAGTGTGATCGGTACATGGAATAATACATTACATGTTACTATACAAATGGTAAGATATGTGTGTTAAAAAGTTAATAACTTAAAAAATAAAATTTTCCACCACTCCTATTAAAACACGTAGTGTACCACTTGTGTTCCCGTTACAACTAAAAATTTCTCGTAAATCAGAATCAAAAGCAAAAGAGAGAACCGTCAAAATAAAGCTAACAATCAAAAGAATATGTCCAATACAAAATCACAAAAAGGCGAACTAAACATTACTTTAGTCTAAAAAAAGCATTGCAATTGGCACTGTTCTTTACTGTTCATTGTACCTGAATTTCAGTTTATTTACAAGATAGCCACTCGGATGCTTTTAACCCACTTTCACTTAATTTACAAAGTTGCCACTGAGGCTTAAAAGCCTTCTTTCAGCCGTTAGCTGCATTTCATGTTTGACTCGGCAAGAGAAAGGGGAGGGGGACATCACGCCTGACAAATTGGAGAGAGACAATCGCTCCCATTTTTGACTCGGAGACAGCTGAGTGTGCCTCTGGCGAGTGGAGAGAGATGGGAGCTACGGGTTTGGACTGAGTGAGAGAGAGATTTAGGTAGGTGCTCTGTCAGGATCTATGGGATTTTCTCCCATTTTACAGAGAGAGATGGGCAGGGAGAGAGATACAGAGCGGGTTGGGTGGGTTAGCGACTTTCATTTCCTTTCTTTGTGAGCTGCAGTGGGACTCGATGAGAGCATGCTGTCGGGAGAGAGACAGCGAGCGAGCAGAGAGAGAAGAGAGACAGGGAGGGAGAGAGAGAGATTTGGTGAGAGGAAAGCAGGCGGCTTGCAGGCAGACAGAGTCATAGGGGGTGTACGATTCGAGGGAGAGAAAGGGGTTGGTTTCGAAAGCTCTACCTAGGGTTGTTCCTGCAAGATTTCAACAGCGTTTTCCCTCTTCTCCACTATTTTCCTTCATTCCCTTTTCTCTGAACCAGAAAACTAGATTCCTCTTCTGGAGTCTCTCCCAGTGTGGAACCCCCGCCACCACCAGGCGCCATAGCTGCGTCAAAGGTTTGCGTGTTGAATTTCACATCAACGGCATCTCCCTATAACCTAGGAGCTTGGTTCGGATCGGGCAATTCCGGAGGCCCTGCCATCGAGGTTAGTCTGAAGCGATTCCTATCTTATTGACTTATTGCATGTCAAAATCTGCTTCAAATTTGTGATTTAATATAATTGGGCTTTAGAAAAAAAAATTCATGATTTTGTCTAATCCAATTGAATGATTAGAAAAATTTTCATTAAATTTCTGGGTTCCTGGGGGGTTCTGAATCGTGATGTTGAGAGAGCTTGGTTGCTTTAATTGCTAATGAAATTAGCTTCTAAAAGTTCATAATTTGCCTTTTTTATTTCATTCTATATTTTCTTTGAGTTTAGATATATTTGTTTGTTTGTTTTTTTTTTTTTTTTTTTGTGATGTATTGCCGATGCCAAAATATCATATTTACAAGGACAAAGATAGCAAGGTTCTAAATCAAATTTTTATCCTGGTTCTGCTGCTGGGTTCACTATCAGTAAAAGGCACATGAAATATGGTATTGATTTCAGAGCCTTTGATTTCTCAGAATGTCTTCATATATCGAATGTCATCTGAATTTAGTTGTAGTTAATTTGTCAAAGTTTGTTGTTGTTTAGCTTTTTCAAATGGCAGTGTTAGTATTTGCCCAGTATTTTTTGTGAATTCCAAACTTTGCTTATAATTGTTGGTATGTAAAAGCTGCCAATTGGATTTGTTCCCCAGATGATAATGGCATACTAATATAATGGTTGTTTTTTTGCTTTGATGTACGAGTAAGAAGATTGTTTTGCCCCTTACGTATCCTGCTTCTTTCTGTTCCACGAAGTTGCCAAGAAAAAAAGTACTTTGTGATCGTTTTCTTTCTTATGGTGATGTGTAGATAAAATCTGTCTTTTTTTCTTTGTATCAGCAACCTATTACCCCTTCATGAGCATGTTCAGTTAAGAAACTTTTGATTTTTCTTCTGTTTAATTTCTCATCTGATAGGTTCAATATTAATAGAGTCCAATTAACATCCATATTGGAATGACAATCGAGAAATGCAATGACATACTTCTAATTCCATCCTCATTAAATGTCTTAGTAACAATCAAGAATTGAATGACATGTTTCTCATTGTTTGTTTCTGTTACAGATCTACAAAGGATGATGAAAGCTTTTCGTCACTGATCTTTGGAGAAACGGAGGCATGCATATAAAAGATGTAATTACCTAGAACCTTTGTTTCAGTTGAAGCATGTCATCAAAGAGAGTAGTCAATTAACAGTTGCCAATTGATATTAGGTCTTAAATATAATTTTAGCTTTCATTTTTTTTTTATAAATTAAAATGTTTTACAGAGTTTTATTTTTATGTAAGGTGGGTGAAATATATATCTATATATATATATATATATATATATATATATATTACAACTTAATTGCAAGGGACCAAAATGCAATTACAACTTAATTGAACTTTTAGGGAAATTATGAAATTACAACTTAATTGGGGGGGGGGGGTTGGGTTTCACAATAGGCCCTGTTTGGTAGATCGGATAAAGGATCGGATAGGATTAGTTATACAGACTCGGGTGTTTGGCGTTCACTTGTACTAAATAAGCGCTGGATTAATTTAACCGGTCGGATAGGATAATACGGTATACACCTGCTTAATAAAACCAACCAAAACGCCCGGATTATTTAGTCGGGGAAGAAGAATATGGGAGAGAAACGGAGGGAGATTGGGGGGTGTGGCGGAGAGAGCTGGGGAACAATTATTAGGGATTCTTCTGCAGTCGGGGAAGAAGAAGGGAGAGAGAGGGAGGGTGTTTGGGGGGTGCGGAGAGATTTGGGAACAAAAAAATGATTTCACTTTTAAAATTTTTTTTTTTTTTAAAGTTTGATTCCTCCTATATAGTATAATACCAAACACAGTATAAATAATACGGTCACTAGTCCGATACTACACCAAACAACTGACTAATTTAGTCAGTACTATCCGGTGGCTATTTATCTTATCCGACAAAAATAGACAGTACAGTCTGAGCTGCCAAACGAGGCCTATCATGGACTTTTAGTTGAAGAACTATTACTACAATTTCCTTTTATAAAAAACAAACATTTAATATAGTAAGTTTTTTTATTTTAATCGAACATGAAGTATACGAGATTCGAGTCTATGATCTCTCTTAAGCGAAGAGGAACACCTCTTTAAATGGTACATATCAAATGCTTTCTTCCAAAAGCACTTCATGAGCTTTTACTTGGGCTGGTTTGTTGTTGCTGTGCTTTGAAAAAAAATTACTTCTGCTGTACTGCGAGAATAAACAGTTGTGAAATAAAGCAATAGATTGTTCGGTAAACCTTTTTGTAAAAATGCTTTTAGTAAAAAAAACAGTGTTAAAATGTTTGGTAAATTTTTATGTAAAACTGCTGTAATTATGTAAAATGATTAAAAAAATATGATGTTGAATATTGTATAATAATTTATGACATTTATAAGATTTATATAAACTAATTAAATAAATTGTTATAAACCCCCAAGAGCCGATCGGTTCGGACCGGCGGTGGATTGTCGTCGGTCTTATCGAACAACTGGTTAGGAGCCTTCTTCTTGATTAAGAATCTAGACACGGGCACTGAGTTCATCGTGAACGAGTAGGATTAGAAGGGGTGCTGGAATCGACTCAGCGATCTCCAAACGGGGAAGCAATTGACGATGGACGAGTTCGAGAAATGTGTCGGCTACTCGCCGGTGGTGAAAGAGGTTATGCGAAGACAGAGCATTTCCAGCGAAGGCAGTGGCGACGACAGGAAGGTTGGTGCATGGGCGAATTTGTTTGTTTCGAAGAGCCTGAGCATGAGCAAGAGAAGAGGGGTTGCTCTGTTGAAGAACAGCATACGAGGCGTGGGGACCGTTGTAAGTGTGTTGATTGGGGAGAAAGAGAGGGAAAACACGACGCCGCCGCTGACACCACCGCCGGAGCAAAAACTCGCCAAGAACTCGAGTTCTTCTTCGTCGGCTTCATCGGAGTGGGTCAAAGTTAGGCAGATAGGGAAGCATTACAAGGAGTTATCGGCATTGCATTTGTGTCAAGTGATTCAAGCTCACGAGGGGGCAAGCAAAAAAAGCCGAATTTTCAAAGCTAAGTTTTACAACTTTGTGTTTTTTGCTATTTTTCATCTAAAACTGTGAAAAAAAAAAAAATCTGAAGTTAAATGTTTACCAAACACAAAAAAGCTTTCAACTTTTTTTTATACCCACTTTTTTCAAAGCACCTCAATACCAAATCAGGCTTAATTTAAAAGCACTAATTTCCACTAATCATTCATGAATAGATTAAGGTTCATTTTTATTTTAACCAGTGCAAGATGAGCATAACAGCAATTGATCAAGTTGATCTTATCAAATTTTAACTCAGTTGCATAAGCACTAAGAATCTCTGAAATACACTTCCATTATCCTGTGACAGCAAAAAGCAATACAAGATACAATATGACATCATACAAACACTTAAACGACACAATCCAAGGACATATTTTGATAATCCAGTAAGGTATCGACTTCTATGTACAGCGAGTGTGTTAACCGGATCGTCTAGCGACTAAGTTCTAGAGTTCCCGGACAACTAAAACCATCTTCGATACTGCGTAAGCCGTAGAGCGCGTACTCTTCCTCTATCTGTGGACGAGACTCCATCCGAGAGGTTAGTGCATCACTCCCAATCTGCGTCGAGGAAACGGCATCTTTCATCTCTGAATAGTACACATTCTCCAAATGTAAATCTTCCTCCTGTTTTCATCCAAACGTCAATTACCAATAGGAAACGAATACTAATAATAATACTATCGATAAGAAACACAGAGTTGCAAATACCTGGAAGAAGTCTGCCAGAAATGTATGTCTTCCATTATTCTATTGGAGTGTGTCTATATATATGCCCGAGCAGGTGGCTAGTTTCTCAATAGATGAAGAATAACTTGACATACTCAAGGTTCAAATGCCCGTGAATCCGAGGTGCAGCACTGTTAAAACTCAAAAATATGTTTGTCAAGGTCAAAGAATTCTTCACTATATAAGCATGGATACCTATAACGATTCAGGATACACTTTGAATAATCTTTCAGTCGAATTTTCGTGACATTATATGGTGGAACATCTGCATCGGGGTCAATCCTCGGAAGTAAACTAATAAAGTCAACATTTCTAGGTTTGAATGCACTCAGATTCAATTCAAAAGGAAGCTCTGAAATGGAAGTAAACCACACTATTTATCTCTACGAGATAAATAGTGGAAATAAACAATCAGTTCAAAGTTTCTTGTTTATTTTGTTTTCTTTCCACATTATTGTACAAGAAGCCTTCAATAACAATTTACAATAATAATTTTATAACCCAATTAATTCAAAGAACCGATGGATCCATTTCCCGAGAGGTTTTGTAAGCCAGATTGTGACAGGGTGTCTAGCCCATTTGGCAGCAAGTCCGACCAAAAAAGGCAAAACCGATGTGAACACGGTGATAAAGAGCCAGCTGTTATATGATGGCGCAATGTTGACAACCGCAGTGCCGTAGGTGGTGTATACCGCTATGATGCAGATTTGAAGCTCCAACTGGAGAGGGAAATTGGTTGTGAGGATGATCATCGTGTAAAGAGAGAAGTAAAATCCAATTGAGTTGAGAACCACAAAAACGACGAATGAAACTTCACTATAAGAACCCATGATGGACCTTCCTGCCAAGTGTACTGGTTCATTGCTGCTGCCAGTCCCTTTATTATTCACGTCACTACTGTCCTGCCAAGTTCCATTTGGAGGGTTGAGTCCCACTTGAAAGGTGGTCATAGCCACTAGTGAAGCAACAACTAGCAGAGCGGTACGTGCATCTCTAGGACAGTCTCTGCCCTTTTTGAACTGGAAGAATTCCCACCAATTTGTCTTCTGCTGCTCCTGCTGCAACTGAGGAGTCTCTGGTGCCGTGTGGTTCTCGCTATGGCTATGAGAATTGAACAATTGGACACCAGAGTTGACTATATCTCCAGCTCTCAAAGCTCCAGCACCATGAAGGATTGCCTCCATTTCCCAATCACCGGTTTCATTTGGAAAGACCAGATCCAAAGCTGTGAGACCCCTATTGTTTACAGAATTTACTTCCAAGGCTCCTGCAATTGTTTCATTGCCAACCAATCCTTCCCCCACCTGCAAGCATTAGTGCACTAACAAATCAATATGGACTAAAACTCTCATGACTATAAGAAAGAAAAATGCGTACTGATCAACGGTTCAAATAGTACTTGCCTGATGCTGGTTTTTACAGGTTGCTAGATGGAGAACCGAGTAGCCATGCTTATCCTTCATATTCAGGATGTTCACCTTGTTCGTTTCTGCAACCGGTTCCACCAAAAATTTAATTGCTTTAAATTGGCTGCACTTAACAGCAAGGTGAATAACAGTCTCCCCTTGTACGGTCACCTCTTCAACACTTTCTGGACAAGCCAAGACCATTTCTCTAACCACGTCTACCCTCCCTCTGCTAGTGGCATAATGAAGAGGAGTCCACTCATCTCTTCCATGTAGCCGGCATAGTCTCCAGTCAACTCTCAGCATCTCCATTACAATTTCCAAATACCCATTGGCAGATGCAATATGCATGGGGCTAAAACCATCCTGGTTCATTTCTTCAACATAATCTGGTTTCAACCTCACAATCTCCTTGACAAAGTCGACATGCCCAGCAATCGAAGCAACATGTAAAGGATTCTCTGTGGAAGTTAGCGCAAGGCTATGGAGTAGAAGTGGATTCCCTGCCAGCAATTGATGCAAAAGTTGGACATCTCCCCGTCTCCCGTCTGAGAAGTGTCAAATAGCCTTGCCTCCATTGCAAATGGTTGTGTTAATTGATAAGCAACTCATCTCCATTGAGTGCGTCTATATATATGCCTGAGCACGTGAATAGTTTTTCACTGGGTGAAGAATAGCTTGACACTCAAGGTTCAAATGCGTGTGAATCCAGGATGCAGCACTTTCAAGGTCAAATAATTCTTCACTGTATAAACATAACCTGTTAGGTTTTGTTAAGGTACGAAGTTCCAGAATCAGACACGTAGCAGACTAATTGCTTGAACTCTATTCATGTAAATTCATAATCTATTTACGAGATAACTAAAATAATTCAGGATAAACTTAGAATAATCTTTCAGTCGAAATTTCGTGACATCATATAGCGGCCTCAGCGTCCTTCGTTGGAAGTTTGAAACAATATTGCAGATATCTGAATGGTAAGGAGTCTTGGAACATAGAAATAACATTCGACAAGTAAAATGTCGGTGTTTCAAGATGTTACATCGCCATCAAAGTTCGTCCATTGTTCAATCGGGAACCAATAAATCATATCAAAACTACAGCACCGGCCGTTAACTCTATCGCCACTGTAATTCAAATGAGTCCACTCCATAATTTTACTGGACTTTCCATTGCCAACTTAACCATTCAACGCTTTTAAAATTAGAAGTTTTAACGAAACACTTTTAGTACCGTTTACTTTAATGAGAAATGACAATTTTACTCTAAAAAATCGCTCATGATACTATTCACTTACAACACATTTTTATCATTTTGATTAAATCTCAAAGTTTTCAAATCTTTTTTTCATTAGTTTGCTTTTAAAATTTCTAATTCATTAGATTAAAGCTACACTATTTATTCCTACTTCGGGTGGCTTCGGGGATAGCAACATAAATTTTGGGTAATATAAAAGAAAAGAAAATCAAATCAAATCAGCAAGTAAAATTAACAAAAATTCATCAAGAACCAAAATTGAGGCAGAACAAAAACAACCCAAATGCAAACAAAAACTAGAAAGCAAAAAGTCCATACCTTTGAGAATTTGTGGTTCGAGAGAAGCTCGGAGAACACAAAAATGGAGGAGAGAGGAACTCTCAGTGTCAGGGCAATCTCCGTCTGGATTGCTGAAATTCTCATACTTTGGTAGCGGAGAGAAGCAAGGATGTGTGTAGGTTGGAAAGGCGGTGGTGGAGGCGGAGATATTTCGGAAATATACAAGCAGGGTTCGTGCGGACGGTTGAGATGCCACCATAGTTGGTGGTCGGAGTTGTGGAGGGAGGTCAGGTTTTTTTACAGGTGCACAAGTTTAAATGAATCAAGTTTTGTGTTGGAATACTTTTCAGATAAGACAAAACGATCTTGAGAAAAATTTGCGAATACAAAGAATATATAAAGTCGCTTCTGTCCCCATTTTTTCTTTTTACCCTTATTTATAAAAAAAAAAAAAAAAATATTATTAGCATTTCAAAAATCTTATTCTACAATTTTTATAAGTGTATTTTTCTTTCTAATTATAGAAAATTTAGAGTGTCAAATGAGATTTTTGGAGTGCTAATAACAATTCCCAAAAGAAAATGATAGTCCTTTAATTTTAACTTGATTAGAGCAGTGATCCTTAACTCATCAAAACGTGCAACTATGATTTTTTTAGTCAAATTCATCAGAACTTTCGCCAAAATGAGTCATGATGGAAGGATCATTGCTACAATTGGATTAAAGTTAAGTGATCATTGCTCTAATTGGGTTAAACTTTAGGGAACCATTGCTCCAATTGAGTAAATTTGAGAGACCATTGCTCCTATTATCACATTTGATTTTTCCATATTTGCTCGTTGGTTTAGCTTCATGCGCGTGGTGGTAGAAGTTGACGAAAAAAGACCATAACTGCACATTTTGAGAAGTTAAATGATCAATGGTCATAGATTTTCAGTTAAGGAATCATTATTCGAATTCAATTAAAATTAAGAAACCATTACTCCAATTCCCTCTTATAAAAACATTTAATATAATAAGTTTTTTTATTTTAATTCAACATAAAATATACGAAATTGGAATCTAAGATCTCTCGTAAGCAAAGAGGAACACATCTTTAACTTTGGTACATGACAAATGCTTCTCTCAGACGCACTTAAAGAGCTTTTAGATAATTTAAAAACACTAATTTCCAATAATCATGTCATTAACGAATAAGTTAAGGTTCATATTTATTTTAACCGGTGCACGATGAGCATAACAGCACTTGATCAAATTGATCATATCAAATTTTAACTCAGTTGCATAAGCACTAAGAATCTCTGAAATACATCTTCCATTATTCTGTGACTGCCAAAAGCAACACAACATACAATATCACATCATACAAACACTTAAAAACGACAAAATCCATTGACATATTTTGCTAATCCAGTAAGATATCGACTTCTATGTACATCATGTAATAACCGGATCATCTAGCGATTAAGTTCTAGAGTTCCCGGACAACCAAAACCATCTTCGATATAGAGCTTAGTGCATCACTCCCAATCCGCGTCAAAGAAACCGGCATCTTTCATTTCTGAATAGTACACATTCTCCAACTGTAAATCTTCTTCCTGTTTTCATCCAAACGTCGATTACCACTAGGGAAAGAAGTATAACAATAATACTATAAGAAACGCGGAGTTACAAATACCTGGAAGAAGTCTGCCAGAAATGTTACGTACAAAAGCGGAAGATAAAAGGCGTGATAACAGACAATAGTAGCACTATATAGCCTGCAAATAAAAATTTGAAAATTAATTATAGAAGCTCTTTAGAAATTAAACTAATGGCAACATAGAAACTTCAGACCAAAGACCAATTTACACATACCAGAATCCAAATCCAGCCCCATTTCCAGTAAGCAAGCAAGCAAACAGTACTAGTACGTTTAACATAAACATGATAGCGGTATACTTGTAGAATGCAGGTCTTGCTGCAGAACAAGAAAAGTGACATCAGATTTTGTTAAATAGCTATGAAATCGATGAAGACATCAGATTTTATTAAATAGCTGATGAACATACCCGGTAACCTCTCTCTCCACCTGGAATGGTACATGAACAATATGAAGCCATAAATTGCAGTAATCACTAGCCTGTGGACAACCCACAAGGCCCACTTTGTTCGATGCGCACGGTCATTATTGTCGATGAACAATGGAATGCCAAGTCCAAATAGATATATTGCCTGGATGACAACAGAGAATAATTGTAAGTCTGTTATGTACCACAATAATGTACCGATGTGCATTTTCAACGACATATATGTTTCCATTAGTATATTCTTGAAGTAACTAAAAAGGTCATAAGGGTGAAAATCCATTTCATGCAAAAGAACGAGCGATACCTTGAGAAGTACATCCAAAACAACAAGGATCCCTGAGATAACAAAAGTCCGTGTCAAAGCTTCCAGTCCACTTGCATAATTCCCTTGAAGCAAAAATGCCAGCAAGCTTACTTCCAAAAATAGCATCCCAGAGGTTGTGAACAAAGATAATACATTCCATGTTACTTCTTTTCCAGGACTGCACTCCCATGCCTGAACCAAAGCGGTGACAATTCAACCACATCTTAGCAAAACTATCAAGAAATGCCTCGAAACGAGAACAACCATCATTTACCTTTTACCACATCAATTACGGCTAGCAAACCAAGGGCCTTTTTGGGAACTAGAAGGGCAAAAAGTGTTTTCTCACAACCAGAAGCACTTCTAACTACATTTGACAGAAAAACTTAAAAGTGCTTTTGTAGAAGCGCTTGCTAGGTGATTCCTCAGGAAGCACTTCCAAAGTGCTTTTCATGAAGCACTCGCAAGTGCTTTTCAAGAAAGAACTTGGGACTTATTTAAGAAATTCGACTTGTTTCTAATAAAAGGCTAAAAGCACCACTAGCAGAAGTGCTTCCTACCGAAACAGTTCGAGATGAGCCCCAAATAACAATCATACTTCTAATTAACAAGATTCCACCAAAACTAATAACCGAAAGCCTTAAATTTTACCCATAACCATGCTACTATTCAGCTAAAAGATTCAAGTTTTAAACGAGGAACAAAGACAAAGCCGCAAACTTCAAAAAGGGGAAAATGAAACACGAACCTGAAAACAGCACCAAGCAAGATTGAGCAAGCTCACAAGCCAGAGGCACCCGTAGTAGGCAATCATGATATAAGAGCGGCCATGGGAGAGCTTGGAGAAGCTTTTTCTCGATTGAAACGCCAAATACAGGACGAAAAGAAGCGAGGGCACGATCAGAGCCACATTGTGGAAGAACCCATGACATTCGCCGAGCCAGCTGTAGAATTCGGAGCCCGAAACGCCGTCGTCTATGGTTGAATTTGGGGCCTGGGTGAGTGGAATTGGGAGTCCGGATTGCGAGGGAGCTTCTTCGAGAGCTTGCATTTTTCAATTGGGGAAAAAGATTAGTCCTAATTTGAATGGCGATTTGGGTACTGAAATCGAAAACCCTAACCCTAGGTTTTGAGGATTCTGGGATGATTGGAAAATAGCAGAGTCCACCAAAGTTGGGTAAAGGAGCAATGACTGGAAAGGATAGGGACGTGTTTGGCGGGTAGGCTTTGGGCTTTTCTTTCCTCTTTTTTTTTTTGTTTTGTTTTTTTTTTTTTTACTTAATTAGTTAAGATCAATTGTTGCGTTCGATTAAAAACAACTTAAAGCATCTCCAAAAGAGATATCAAGAGATTAATTTCAAATGTTAATTTGATGGCTGACGTGGCAATATTAGATTTTCTCGTTTTCTAACCAATATGTTTTTTTGTTATAAATGATATTTGTAGGATCCATTTTAAAAAGAAATCAATTACAATACATTTTCAAGATATATAATTGGTGCATTAATAGGACTCACACGGTAAAATAATAAAAAAAATTGACATCATCTTTTCTCATATGTCAAATTTGATATATGAAAACTGATATGTCAATCGGTTAGAACTCGCTCCTATTTTCAAATTTGATTACATGACATTCCACTTAAGATTTAGCATACCATTTAAAGATGGTCTTACAAAATTTAGTTAAGCGTATTAACTCGTGCATCCTCTAATATCGTTTGCATAAACTAGGAAACGTCCAAATTTTGAGATTTGTTTCAAATAATAAGATAAAATAGGCTATCTTCAATTGAAAATCTAATCAGACCAAATCTTTATTTTACAAACATTTTTGTCATTCAGAAAAAGCATGAAAAGGTCATTTGATCCTCTAATTATATTCAGCAAAAAATTATAAAAGAAAAAATCATAGGAATTAAGGTAATTTCACACAAAAAATTTTTACTGCATTTTTTTTCTTTCCTCGTCCACTTGTCATCAAAGCATAACGATATTCAATATAAAAGTTGTAGCCAAAATGGTTCCTGAGATTTGCATAACACATCCCTTTGGTCTCTGAGATTGAAAATCAATAGAAATGGTCCCTGAGAATGTCCACTATCTATTATTTTGATCATTTCTTTAAAAACTCCGTTAAGTGTCCCAGAGCTCTTGGTCGAAAGTTTGGACAATTTTCAAAACTTCGTAACTCAATTGTTTCTTAATCAAATTCGACCAATAATATATCAAAATAAAGATAGGAAAGTGTAGAACAAGATTATATCTATTTGGAAGCTCAGTGGTTGTTGAAGATGGTCGGAAAATAACCTGAAAGGTGACTGCTCTGCAGAAAAACTGAAAAACTCGTCAGAAATTAGGCAAGAGTTCTGGGACACTTAACGGAGTTTTTAACGAAATGATCAAAATAATGGATGGTGGACAATTTCAGGAACCATTTCTATTGATTTTCAATCTCATGGGCCAAAATGATGTGTTATGCAAATCTCATGACCATTTTAACTAAAAAATCATTTTTTAACTTCTTAGACATTCTTCGATTTAAGTCATCAGATGGAATACATCGAACAAAATTAAACAAGATCTACGACTCCATATATCGTTAGATTGTCAATAATTAGTACCAAAATCTTTTATAATGAAAACACCAAAATCATATTGATATTTATTTGGTTTTGTTTTTAATCAAAATCTAGTAATATTTAAAATAAAGTTATTTCAATTTTTAGCACCAACTGGTTCAAACCAAACGTGTCCCAATCAACGCCAGAAGCTCCATTAACTCTTCTCCCTCGGCGCCTCAATCTTCGGATCGTATCCTTTCAGCTTCCCGCTCCAGAGTTCGTAAAAGCTTCAAGATTTTGATTCTGTTGGATAATGTGACATTATTGAGCTCCGTCGAAAAACCGAAGCCATCAGAGTTTAGTTTCTTGCGTTGCAAGTAATAGCACTCCGTTAAGTCACGAAATTTGAGGCATTTGGAGCTGCATTTGCCTTCAAAGATTCCAGACAGGTTTCCTTCTGCTCAAGATTTCATCATATTTTTTTTTATTCTTTTTTTTTTTTTTTTGTTGATTTTTATGCGTGTAATTGCATTGGTAATTTCTCTTGGCGTTCATCAAATTTCAATGGCAGTGGAGGCAGTTAAGCTATGGATCGGATGAGGCCGGTGTACGTCAGGCAGAAAAGCAATAGTAGTGGCGGCACCCCGGGGGCACCAACTTCGCCAATGATGTCGCCAATGAACCACCATGGGAGGTCGGGGTCGGTTGGAATGGTGGGTGCCAGGAAAGTGCAGCACACGAAAGCCGCAGCGCAAAGGCTTGCACATGTGATGGCTCACAAACCAGCTGACGACAATGATGAGGAGGACGACGATCTTTCTTATGATCCTGGCTTGTCAAGCGGCACAGGCAGCCTTGGACTTGTCGGCGGAAGATCAATGCGCCCACGCTCTCCAATGGTAATTGGATTATGGTTAATGTTGATGTTACATAGTGGATTCCAAGGTTCCGATTCACAGTCTGACAACATAGCATTTTAGTGATTCGTATTTGAATGTGATATTGTATCTTTATGAACATAATATGTGCTTACTTTGAATTGAAGCCTAAATGTTATTCTGGTATTAGTCAGTTCGTGCCGCTCAAGAACATTCTACAACTACACGGGGACGATCATCACCGTCTCTTAACTCCATGGAACAACCATTTTCTACCCATTCGACACCATCTAGTCGACCATATCAGTACGCAGAACAACCGTCATCAGCTCATTCAACACCAGCAAGCCGAACATACCAATCCATCAACACAAAACCCATTCACCCTGTTGTCGAACAACCACATTCTCTTCGCTCTTCAATCGCTACTAGACCATCCCAGCCTTCAAATTCCAACGAACAACCTACCTCTGCTCGTAATATATCAGGCATGAACTCTGCTCGATCATCTCAGCCAACAAATGTTGTCGAACAACCTACCTCTGCTCGTTCTATATCAGGCCTGAACTCTGCCCGGTCATCTCAGCCTACCAGTGCTGTCGAACAACCTACCTCTGCACGCTCTTTAGCTGCTGCCCGTCCACAGTTAGGAACCAAGCCAGTCCACATCATGCCAGCTAGTGTACCTATATCACTTAGGCCACCCTCTTCTGCTGATCCTCCAGCTGATAATCGAAGAGAGCCAGCACCAGTACCACTACGGCCAACCTCTACTTCCGGTGGATCAGACGCTTCAGCTGATACTCGGAGAGATAAAAGGTATCAAGCTCTTAAAGATTTACTACTTTCTGAGTCATCATCAATACTTTCATGTCTTGATATCCATGGTGATTTGATATAAATTAGGTAGACGATTTCCGCACTCTCATTTTTCATTCTGCACTCCTTTCGTTGTTTCTGTTAGTTAACTCTCCTTTGGTTTATGAATCCAACGGCTAGAAGAAAGGAGAGGAGTGCAGGTCGAGAGAAAGGGAGTGCTGAAATCATTTCTCTTTAGTTCTTTAAAGTAGTTTCTTTCAATTCCTTTCGACACGTGTTATATCTAATCGTTTCTTGCTCTGGTCGACTGTCAGGATGTCTTTGGATTTAGGGACTTTTAACATGAGAGAAAATCGGGCGCAGCGTTCTTCTGCTTTAGAAGATGAGGTATATTTTCTTCTCTCCGGTTGATTCTTGTTTGAAACAATTTTCAAGTTAATAGACTCTAAATTTAAAGTTCGCCGGCGAAGACTAGATAGTTGATAAGAGCAGTTATCTAGTGGAAAATCAACTAATGAGGTATGAATTCATTGCAGCTTGATATGCTCCAGGAAGAAAATGAAAATTTACTCGAAAAGGTGATGCAATGAACTAAACATTCTAATGGTGTTAATGTAACATTTATAATGTGATACGGTTATCGTATTTTTCTTTCTGCCACTCCATTCTGATACGTGCTTCCCCAGCTTCGACTTGCAGAAGAGAGGTGCGACGAAACAGAAGCAAGAGCTCGACAGCTCGAGCAACAGGTAATGTTTTAAATTTATCAAGGCAGAAATAGTATCACGTTTATTGGTTCGTACTTTTTTGGTTTGTTTCATGGTGTAAATACAGTTGATTTTCAGCATGAGCATGTATGATGATGTGCTGGCCAATCCGGTATTATTTCATTGTTTGTGTGTGATCTTTAGGTTGCTAATCTTGGCGAAGGTGTGACGTTGGAAGCCCGTCTTCTAAGCAGGCAAGCTTCAAAGTTTTCATGCGTGTACCTGCATACCAATCCAGATTGATTATTACTTTGAGAATGCTAACTTTTACGTCGATGTGTTTTCTTTTCAGAAAGGAGGCAGCACTGCAGCAAAGGGAGGTGTGTGCTATGCTTCAACATACACACTTTGCCTTGTCTTTCATGTGTGTGCATGTCAAAGTGCATGTCGTCGTGATTTGATTTGAGTTGGTTGAACAAATTTTTACCCAATGAGTTTGAACACAATGCATCACAGGTTGCTTTGAAAGAGGCTGCACAGACTCATGGTGGTAGCGCTCATGGTGGTAGAAATGACGAAGCAGAGTACGAACTCAGATCACTTCAGATTATGACTCAACGAATGATACTGAGTCGCGAAGAGATGGTTTGTGCTCATATGTTTAGCTCTTATGGGTCAGTTCTTGTTTCTTTCTTACCCTTTTTGCATGATTTTCAGTTGTTTTATCTTAGGAAGAGGTGGTCTTGAAGAGATCTTGGCTAGCTCGATACTGGAGTTTATGCGTTGAGCATGGTAAGCAAGTAATTTTAATCCCCAAAATAAAACTTCCTATCTATTGAAGGGTTTCCGGAACATGGAAATGCAAATCCTCCAATGCCTAGTCACCAAAATACAGAGAAAACTCTTCTGTTGAAGAATTTATACTGTTCAACTGAAGGTCTCTAAGATGTCCGAATGATGCAAATAAACGATTTAGGAGTGATTACTGAATGACCATAGGGTATTTTGGCAGGTATTCATGCTGAGATAGCGGCATCAAGATCCGAATTCTGGTCATCGCTTGCTCCTCTTCCTGTTCAAGCTATAGTAGCAGCTGGACAAAAAGCGAAAGAGGGGATAGGTAAGTTTGAGTGCTTCAATCTTTATTGGTTGTCTTATACATTTGTCTTTGCCTTCTCTGTTAGAAACACAGACTTAATTTCTCAGTATCTTTAAAACTAAACCTTTAGCGATCCCCATCACTCATGTCTTTTGTTAATTTCGGTCTGTCAAGACAACAACGATCCAGATGAAAGAGAAGATAGTCCACGAGATTTGAATGAACTCTCGGGCGAGAGAAACATTGAGAGCATGCTCTTGGTGGAGAAGGGTCTGCGCGAACTTGCTTCGTTGAAGGTTTTCCCCAATCCTCATGATCTTAAAAATATTATCTGTTTCTTTCATGATTAGCAAGTCAGTTTGTGAAACAAAAAAAGTTTGTCTTTTTTATTGATCTGTTGATCTGTATTGCCATTCATTGCTTGCAATGACCAGTTTTTCATGTCATGTCTCGAAGGTAGAGGAAGCAGTGGCACTTGCAATGGCTAAACATCGACGCCCTAGTTCGAAGCAAACTGGTCTTATAGGTGAAGGGATTTTTTATTCACAGTTGAGCAATTCATTAGAATCAAATCGACAGAAATATCATGATAGTTGCCTGACAAGTTCTTTTCTACATGTAGATTTGAAGCTACCAATTGATGGACAGTTTGAAGCATTTGGTAAGATTTCATCATATAAAACATACACCCGGTCACTTTCATACAAACACTGCAAACCTCATTTTCGCACACTGCGCGTCTTCTTTTTATTTCTCGACCCTCCTTATGATCCTCCTTTTTCTCCTTAACACCATCGTCATGATCACCTGTCACCACTCTAACCCTCTTCAGCGTCTTCTTGAGCAACGCGTCCCTTGCAATTACAAGTTCATCTGAACACTCTCTGCACATCTCCAAGCTATGGTCTCTTTTCATGTCGACCAAAGTTGCCACATTTTGATACATATGTTTTGATTGTTTCTAGAACTCAGCAAAGAGGAGTCTGAAGATGTGCTTTTCAAGCAGGTATTGTTTTTCGCCTTCTGCATTCTTCTTATATTTCCAACATGTAAACACTTATGATGCTACGCAAAATTCAGGCTTAGCGCAGTTGACTAGAGTAGTGAGCTTCCCCGCTACAGTGATTACAACTAAGTTCGAATCCCCAATCTTGTAATCTTAGGTTAGAATGGAATATCACTCGAATAAAAAAACAGTTATCTATGACACTTTGAGACGATCGATGCTGTTGCAGGCTTGGCTTGCATATTTCTGGAGAAGAGCTAAAAACCATGGCGTGGAACCAGATATAGCAGATGAGCGTTTGCAATTCTGGATCAACCACAACTCCAACTCACCCGCCACCTCGCACGATGCAGTTGATGGTACTCATCTCTCTCTCTCTCTCTCTCTCTCTCTCTCTCTTACTCTAATAGTTAACATTGTAGCTAAGTTCATCTCTTTCTTCCTGCCCGTCAACATACTACTAGCTATTGATTTAGTGCTACACATGATATTGATATCTGCGTAAATCTGATATGGCGGGTTCTTCCGGTTTGTACAGTTGAGCGCGGTCTTGTGGAGCTGAAGAAGCTGGGAATCGAAACCCAGTTATGGAGAGAATCTCGGAAATGGCTCGAGCATGATTCGATGCATAGAACGCAAAGTCTGTCCGACTTCTGATAGATTAAAACTTGTTGAGCAAGGTTAAGATCAATGCTATCCAATTATGCTGAATGTAGAGAGGTCTCTTCATCTCAAGAAACACCAAAGTATACTCGATCATCAGATATTCAATCAAATATTTGCGTACAAGATTTCTTACTGTACATATGTGGCTACCAATTGATGGACAGATTGAAGCATTTGGTATTATAACTCAAGGTCGTTAGTAAGTCTGTACTGAAAGTTCGTTTCTTTGTGACCAAAAGTTCACGGATTCGAGTAGTAAAAACAGTTTATTTGCTAAGTAAGGATAAAGTTGTATACGATAGAGGTTTATTCTTCGATCCTCACAAAGCAGGGAGTCTTGTTGACTCGGGATCTTTTTTTTTTTTTTGAACTGAAAGTTTGAAACTAGAAACAGTGTTAAAAGTTAAAAGTTTACTAGCTTATTTGAGAAAATTCTCATAAAAATTTGGCACACAATGATGTCGCTAAAATAGTCACAAGCACGTACAAACAAAATTATATAATTAAAGTGAAGCTGGTTAGATCCATGCACTCAAGTTTAAATTAGACTAATGAAAATATTATTGAATTTAAATAATGCTTGCAAGTAATGCTATTCTTACCATAATTCTATACTACATTTCTATCATCTTAGATAGTAGACGAATTGGACAAGCCACATCATTCAATTTTATTTAAATCCTTCATAATTCCAACCATTAGTGTCTGAAGTTTAAGGATTAAGAAACACAAGCTCTTAGTTTGTGTGAAAAAGAAACCGAAGTGCTTAGTTTGTGTGAAGTGGACTAGCGAAATAAGTTGATGAGAACTGTCAGATTCAATTTAAATTGTTTAGATTGACTCGTCCTTGTGCTCCAGATAATAAGATCCAGAATGAATCTCTGCCTTTGCTACTGGGTTCGAAAGATCTGATTGGGACCTAAGTTAAAACTTTGGGACCTAACTTAAAACTTTAATACCATTCGTTTGAAATTTGATTAAATAGCTAATAGAAAGATGTGCACATAGCATGAGTATATAAGCATGTGCATTGGAAAAGCTCCTCCGGCTAAGCCCAGCCTAGCCCAGCCCAGTACAGCACTGTGAAATCCCCATCTTACCCCAAAGCGGTTAGGTGGTGGCAGAATGGCTCGGCATGCGTCACTATGTATGTGTGAGAGAGTGAGACCGTCTGCTGTCAGTCCCACGCCACTTGTTTTACAACGGGAAGGTCAAAGCTCCCACATTTGCACAAGGCATCTGGTTCAGATTGTTCAATCTATCAAACGCCGTCGTGTTCCTCCGCTCTCTCTCTCTCTCTCTCTCTCTCTCTCTCTCTGCTCTCTAAGGGGTTTCCTGAGGTAAAAGCTTGAATCTTTGATATCTGGCAGCTTAAATTTCTCGGTTTTTTTTAATTCTTAATCAAAAGGTGAGATTTTGTGATATGGGTTTTGATTCTTTTATCTGAAATGGTTATTGTTGTAATTACAGCTTGAATTTAATGATGATCTTGAAGATCTGCCTTTATTATCCTTCATAATTTAGCAGCTGTTTTAAATTTTTTTTTAAATTTTGTGTATTTTTATAGTTTTAATTGTGAATTGGATTAGTGTGACTCAGCTTAAATTCTTGATTATTTACTTTAATTTAGTATTTTTTTTATTTTTTATTTTTTATTTTTTTTAACTTTAATCATAGATCACATCAGTTCTCAGTGGTTGCTCTATTTTGATAAAAATAATTTGGTATGTTTATATCTTTTTATGATAAAAATTTAAAATTATTCTGGCCTGCAGAGGAACTTGATGAAAATATATGGAAATTGAACATGGTAGTTTTAAGTTTAATTTCTTGCTTCATCTGTTCCATTGGCTGTACAATATTTGTATGTATCAGAAGGTGGAGTGTTGGGTGGAGAAATCCATGTCAGAAGAGCAACCCATTACTCATCTTAATTTAATTCCAGTTGAAAACGAACGCATTAGGAGCAGAAGATTGTCACTTTTTTAGTATTAATTGAACTTGTCAATTTCTTTACACACTTGAGCTGTTTTCCGGTTCTTTTGTTCAGGCCCTGCGTTGGTCATTATCTAATAGTTACTTTGTTCAGATCACGTTGAAATCATGGTGAAGGGTGTTGCTGTTCTCGGCTCCAGCGAGGGTGTTAAAGGAACCATCAACTTCGTCCAGGAGGGAGATGGTAGGTTAAATGATAATTGATTATTCGGGATGGTTTTTTTCCTTTCATTTATGTGTTTTCCGAAGAAGGGGAAACAATCGCTTGAATTGATTATTGTTTTATTTCATTGAAGGCCCAACTACTGTGACTGGAAGTGTCTCTGGCCTCAAGCCTGGACTTCATGGTTTCCACGTCCATGCTCTCGGAGACACAACAAACGGTTGCTTGTCAACTGGTAAGGGCCATTGACCAGTGATTGTTCTCCTTTATGTTCTGAAGGAGTAAATCTCCACTCTATATCCATAAATTGTCTTTGTGTTGTATCTAATGACCAATATCAATTTGCAGGGCCGCACTTCAATCCTAATGGAAAAGAGCATGGTGCCCCTGAAGATGAGGATCGTCATGCTGGCGACCTTGGAAATATCACTGTTGGGGATGATGGTAGATAACCTTTTCTTCTTTTGCTCTTTCTAACTGTTTTGTAATTTCCTGGAACACTCTTTTATGTTTTCACGACTTGATAGATACGGACTAATGACAGCTTAATGTGTTTCTTATCTCCTTGCTTCAGGAACTGCAACCTTCACAATTATTGACAAGCAGGTTTGTGATTGACCTCCCCAATTATTATTTGTTTATGCTATTATTAAAACTTACGTATTCAGACAGCTCTTGAGTTTCATTTCATCTTTTATAAAGGTTACATTATTGTTTGCAGATTCCTCTCACCGGACCACACTCTATCATTGGTAGGGCAGTTGTTGTCCATGGCGACCCGGATGACCTGGGCAAGGGTAATCTTTATTGTTCTCTCACTCCTCTCTCTTAAGTGGTTCCATAGCACTTATTAGCTAGTCAGTGTGATGGGCGCACCTTATCATCTTTCAGTGGGTCACCCCACTCCACATCAGGCTGTGACTCTACAGTGAGCACTATTGTACTTACGGGTAGTTTTAGCCTGCTTCTGATTCCAATTGGTATACAATAGCTTCTACATACGTGCAAATCATTTGGGGATCGGTATTTTGGTTTTCATCATTGCTTTATCTTGTGCTCCTCATCCTTCCAAATGAGCTACAGACTAGTGGGTGACTGTCGGTTTGTTGTTCCTCAGAGTTATTTTCTATTTCCTTGTAAATTTTAGTTCCTAACTAGGTTTAAGCATGAAAAAACTTCTGGCTATGTTATTTCTCTACTTAGAGTGAATGCACTTGGAATCCAATATCGGATCTAATCAAATACTTGTGTTTTTGTACACAGGTGGGCATGAGCTCAGCAAATCCACTGGAAATGCTGGTGGCAGGGTAGCTTGCGGTAAGCTAATTTGCTTAATCTCATCAAACCCAATGTTTATGCTATACATTAATTGTCATATAATTTTGGATTATTCTTGTTGGATGATCATAGTAAGGTGCTTTCAACATCGCTAGAAAACGGAATGTCTTCCCTAAAATTACATTAGATGACTATTGCAAAATCTTGGTCTGTCTCCGCCTCCATTCCGGATGAGGATGGAAACTTAAACCAAGTTGTGGTTTATAATTATATACACGGCCCCTGTTTTTGTGTTTGTCTATAGACATCTACCTGGGTTGCGTAGTTTTTATATTGTTATTGTGGAGATCTCTGTGTTGCGTAGTTACATTGATTCGTGTCCGTCAACATGCTTCTAATTATGTTCCGGTGTGTCTACTTTTGTGCAGGTATTATCGGTCTGCAAGGATGAACTTGAGTACCGAGCGAAAGATGTGGAGTTTCAGTTAAATGTATTAAGTTTCTATGAGCCTGAGAGAAATTTAGAACTCTTTTGAATAAGAAAAACCATGTCTTGTTTAGCTGACAATGTTTGGTGTTTAAAATTCTGTCCAAACTTCATTGATTGGAAATCTTGGATGCATAAGGTGCTTATGAGTTTGATCATGTGTGTTTCTTTCGTTCTCATTCATTGATCGTTATTTCAAGGCCTGAAAGTACTTCAGGAAGTGATAAAACGCTTATTCTAAAAGCGTTCCAATAGCATTCTACGTCTTACAAAAGCAAATTTCAAATGGATCAAGGCCCGAAATTGCTCATGGAAAAGCTAAAAACGCTTTATGACAATCAAAAGCAATTGTGAGGCATAAGAAAACTTGTAAAAACGCTTTATAAGTGTCTTTTATAAGCAAATCGCAAATGGATGGGGGCATGAAACTGCTTCCGAAAAAGCTAAAACATTTATTTTTTTGACAACAAAAAAGATTGGGAGTCATAAAAGCGCTTACAAACAAAAGTGCGTTCTATGTAAGCAAATCACAAACGGACACGGGGTCAAATTTGAGTTTATACAGATTTGGCCCAAACAATTAGTTTTGGGCAAAAGTTGCTCGAGCAAAAACACAAACTCACTCGCCAAACGAACTTACCTAATTGGTTTCGGTTGACGCCACTCCTCCTCCACCTCCGCCCCAAAATCCAAAAAACCACAATTCTACGGTTCCATAATTAGTTTAGCAAATTACAATCGAATCCGCTCTCCCGTTTCTACTATATAATCTCGCCAAGCGATGTCGACCACCGTCGACAAAATTTCCGGTGACCTTCACATGACGCCGGAGCTACGCAAATCCTTCAACCTCCTCAAGACCCACGCCTCCAAAGTTGCCAACTTTAGCCTCCAATGGCAGGACCTCGAGGAGCACTTCCGCTCCATCGACAATTCCATCCAATCCAAGCTCGACCAACTGCAAAAACAACAATCGGAAGAGACCCATCTCGCTCCGGCTCCGCAATCGCAACCCAAAGAACCCGAATTGAATTTTAAACCCAATTCCGAAGAACCCCAATTGGGTTCCGGTGACGCCCAATTGAGTTCGAAAGAATCCCAAGTCACCGCCACCCTCCAGTCCTTTAAAACCCAATTCGATTCCGTCGAAACCCAAGTCAAAACCGACGAGCCTTTGCCGGAAATGTCGACCTCTAATGGCGTCCCGATAAATGCCGGCAAGGCGTTGCTGTTGTATGTGAATGAGCATTTGAAAGAGCGGGGTTCGGTGCGTGACGGTGTTGCGGATGCGCTTAAGGTTTCTTTGGATGCTGGGAAGCTAGTGCTCGAGGCAGTGAAATGGTTTTATCCATCAGAGTCGAATGAGGGAGATAAGGAGCTTGACGTCACTGTTACTAGGAAAAGTTGTGCGATTTTGTTACAAGGGCTGGTGAATGTGAAACCAGTGATTAAACCCGATATCTTCAGAGAGGCAATGAAGCTTGCATTGGCTTGGAAGGCAAAGGTGATAACTCAAATGTCGAACTCTTTGGAGGTTTGGGCTTTTTTTCAGCTTCTGGATGCTTTTGGGTTGGGTGGTGAGTTTGACAGTGATGAGATTTTGAAGCTTTTTAGTTGCGTAGCAGATCGGAATTCTGCACCGGAGTTGTTTAGGTCTCTTGGTTTCGCCGATAAAGCCTCTGGTGAGTTTTTGGAGAGCCTTCCTTATTGTTGCTCCTATCGTTTTATTAGACATTTAATTTATAGATTGCTTTCGGTGTTGAGTACTCATAGTTCTACTCCTATGAATTCAATTACGGGTTCCGTATGGTGGAGATTGTGTGATATTTTTCTAAACAAAAGCATACATAGTTTCAGGGAAATCTACTTTGTTTGAGTGCACCCTTACGGACAAAGTTATGTAAGTATCTGTTGATAGTTGATACAACGAATGTCTTGTGAGGTTACCTTTACGGTTTTAGAAGAAATCATGGGAAGAAAGTTATGCTCTTGTTACTTTAGATGTCTTCTATTAATTTCTGCTGGAAATTCTCCTGATATATTGTCTTGAAATAGAAAATCTTTAGTTTTTTGTTTTTGCTACCTCCTTTTTTTATAGTCGGTTAACTCTTAAATTATTTTTTTTGTGACGCAGATTTCATCCAAAAGCTTGTATCAGAGAATAAGCGGCTTGACGCTGTTAGATTCAGTCATGCGTATGGACAGTTTGACAAGTTCCCCCCTGTACCCTTGCTTAAGGCACATTTAAAGTTCATCACGAAAGATGCAAGGACAAGTTCCAAGAGGGGGCAAGACCGTCTTAAAGCACAGGTATAGGTGGTGTTTCTTTTGCCTCATCAACCGTCCTTAGACTCAGAACGAACTTTTATATAGTGTTTATCATTAAATCCCCTGCAGGATGAGGCCATAGACAAAGAAATAGCTGCTCTAAGAGGCATAATACGTTGCGTTGAGGACTACAAGCTTGTCGTTGAACCAGAATATTATCCCGAGATCCTTGGAAAACGCATTAGGCAGCTCAGAAGGGAGAGAAAAGAGAAGAAAGCAACTCTAACAGCTCCTGGCCGTAAGGCTCAGCCGCAACCCCTGAGTGGTAAGAAACGTACTGCCCCAGGTCAGCCAAATAAGCAGAACAGAAATAAGCATCCTCGAACAGCTCGAGCTTTAGCTGCTCAAACTGTTTCTTTCAGAGGACCAGCCACAGTACGCGCTATACAACCATCTTATATTCGCCAAGTAAGCTTGTATGACAGTCGAAGTGCAGAATACTTGTTATCGTCGGCTGGAATGCCCAGACAAGCAACCACTCCGCCCAGTACTTCTTATGGCACCATTTCCACCTTGAACCCACTGCGAGCATCTCATCATGAGCAAGGAGGCTCATTCATCGGTCAAGGTGCAGAATACCCTTCTCGGTACTATGATTCAGCACACTACGCTCCTGATACTAATAATAACTTATCTGCTCGATCGTATGATTTGGTGGGTTCCTCTCCTGGTACCCGTGGCCAGCTCGTGAACTTGACAGCTCGAGACTATGGATTGACAGGTCCGTCTCAGGTACATACTAACTCAGAACTTGGGGGCAGTGGTCATGTAACTTCAGATCTGAGCCCATTAGTCGCACGATACAGAACAAGTATAGCTGCAAATGGAAGGACTGGACGGTTAGGATCAGCAGGAAGCCCTATACCAGTGCGCATTGCAAGCCCGAACAGTTCCATCCCTTATGCCTATAGGGATCCGCTTAGGGCGCCTAATTACAATGACCGGGCAGTGTGTTCCAGCAGTGGCTATGGCGCGCCGTCTCAGCACCCCCCAGCCATTTATCACCTTTAGAGCTGGTTCGGTATTGCTGTGCTTTAAAAAAAAGCTGCTTCTGAGAATAAGCAGCTGTGAAATAAAACAGCAAGGTGTTTGGTAAACTTTTTTGTAAAAGTGCTTTTGAAAAAAAAAACAATATTATAGTGTTTGATAAACTTTTATGTAAAACAGATGTGAAAAAAAATCGTTTTTCAAAGCTGGGTTTTGCAGCTTCTTGTTTTTGGCTTTTTTCAACCCAAAACTGCTGAAGCTGAATGTTTACCAAACACAAAAACAACTCCTAGCTTTTTTTTATATCAACTTTTTTCAGAATCATCTCAGTACCAAACCAGACTTTAATCCGATCCTATAGTTCTTGGTAAATTACATTCACAACCAGTGATTTCTGACGGTGTTGGAAGCTTCTGATCTGCTATGTTTATGGATGAATTCATTGATTGCCTTTTACCCTTTTAAGGAGATAATAAAATTATCCATTTTGCTTGGGTGTAATACAAATTGTGTTTAGATTCTTCTTCTTCAAAAAAAAAAAAATAAATAAATAAATGGAGTAAAGCATCCAAATTGTGGAATAGTCTGAAAAAGAAATCGTAATGGGTGGATTGTTCTGAAGTCAAATTCATATTTCTGTTTAGACTACTGTGTTTCGAATTCAGACCCTTCTTTCTCCATTATTTAAAGTAAAGCAAAACCACAGGAGAAACCTTCATTTACAAGCACCAATTTCTTTATTTTAACAAAGGGTGGTACAAGTAAAGCAGCCAAATTGACATACCCTTAACAATTTTGACAAAACTAGATATTAGTTTCTACGGCCTCTATCTTGAAAAAGGCTATCAATTCCCGCGGCCCTCCATCATTATCGAGTACTTCTGTTTTGTACTTTCCAGTGGGATTGGGCAAAGACTCGTCCTTGGCCGCAACAACAAGCAAATATAATGTGCCTGATTCATAAAATGAAGTCCGAGCCGAAATCACTGTTTCAAATACTAATTTGTTTGTGGCATTCTTGTTGTACTCGGAAACGGCCCACTCTCCGATCTCCGTCGCGTTTAAATTGATGCCGTCTATAGACCTCCAGGTACCGGGAACGTTGTTTGTTGTAGTAGCGGTTGCCAGAGAAACCAGCAGAGCAAAGAGTGCGAGAAAGAAGCAATGAGGACGCATTTTGTAACCAATGAGTTCTGTTCAAGAAGCAATGAGTCTTGGGAAAATTGTTATTGGTGCATGGATAATTATACAACATATGGTCAAATACTTGTTTATATATTAGATAAGCATGGATATGGTGCACTGAATCGGGACAGATTGGCTAGTATAGAAAGCAATAATAACGACGAGAAATTTTTCAAGGTGATCGGTATTCAAACAAATGCTTCACGTGTTATAATATATGTGAAGAGATAAAGAAATAATACACTGTATTTTAACGTTTTCAAATGGCTTCAAGTGGCTTTAAGTCACTTTCCATACCCAATATGTGTCCAAATAAAAATATTGTGAAAAAATAGCTAGATTCAATGCAAACCGTTACACGAGGCTCTAATTATTCAGGCAATTAGTCATATATATGAACTTTGTATATTTGACATCTCACATTCAATTTACATGCAAGAGATTTTGAAGTGTGCTCAAAACATGAGCACATACGTCGTATGTCATTATAGAAGTGGAGAGAAACTTGAAAGAAACATTAAAAGATTACTTTTACAGACTTCGCCCTTATCTGTGACATTATTTTATTTGGAAAGGTACAAATTTCAATAAAAACCAAACTCCATCCTTCCAGTTTGTAAGATAAACGGAATTAGGCAGCATTCAATGTATAGCTTTACTATATCAAACCATCAGCACCAGTAAGACTGTCCATCGGTATATTTGGATTTGCTTTACTGAGAACCGAAAACCTACTACGATGCGTCCTCATTGCTTCCTCGCACTCCTTACCCTGCTTACTCTTGCCGCTACCGCCGCGACGAGGGAAGTGAGTCCCTCGTGGAAGGAAATTAAAGACCTCAAGGATCCATATGTGATAAGCATCGCAGAGAGGGGGGGTCTCAGAATACAACAAGAATGTCACAGGCACAAACAAGTTAGTGTTTCAAAGTGTGACTTGGGGGGGGAAGCGCGTTTATTTCAGGCACGTTTTATGGGCTGATCATTGTGGCAAAAAATGAGTCGTTAACTATCCCGCCAGACGAGTATAGACTTCTTGTATGAGACTGTTTCGAATGCAGAATAAAAGTTGGCCTATATTTTGTTGTGCTTTATATTTATACATCTTTTATATCTAATTTGTAATGTGAGACTTTGTAGCTCAAGTGTTAAAAGTATAGGCAATGTTAGGGAGAGTAAATTTGTAGACAAAATTTTGTAAACTAAATGACATAGAAGTTGATTATTGGATTATGACTTAAGCGTTGATGAACATGCTCATTCCTATTGATAATACATTATTTACTTTATAAATTTTATCTACAAATTTACTCTCTATAACATTACCCTAAAAGTATATACATTTCTAATTGTAAATTTTGCCTACAAATTTAATCGGTGCTTGCAAAAAACAAATATAAGAAGTTTCCGAGAAGGTGCAAAGCAAAGCCGGAATCAAGGTGGGTGAGATCAAAGCTCTGAATAGCATTGAAAAGGACAACAGATGCCTCATCGTTAACAACACCCTCCCCGAACACAAGACTGTAGAGTAAAGGTGTCTCCTCTTGATTGAGCACCTGGACATTCGGCAAACAAATCCAATGTGGAACTATTCGTATGTATTTGTTTGAAAACTCAGATGCAACATGGATATGTGCCATACCTGCAACGTGCAAACAGAATCCGTTGCAGCAAATATTGCACCAATTGCTACGAATAGGAGATTAAAATAGTTAGAACGCAAATAGAATCCAAAGAAACAAATGGGACAAAGAAAGTGAAATATCAAGAAAATGCCCAATTTCCAGAGTTCCAATTTTCAATATCTTAAAGAATTGTGTAGCACCTGAATCAAGCAAAGACAAAGTTTGCTGTTCACGTTCGAGTATAGCTCATAAGTCATAAGCACCACCATGCACTTAGGGGAAACAGCATGTGCAGAGTTACGAGCATACCTAATGATATGATAGTGCAGGATACTAATGTACAAATATAACCAAACAGTACAAAGTTGCTGAAGTTAACGAAAAAGAATTTGGTAGTGGTCTTGTAACTTCAGATCTGAGCCCATTAATTAGTCGCAGGATACAGAACAAGTATACCTGCAAATGGAAGAACTGGACAGTTCGGATCAGCAGGAAGCCCTACACCAGTGCGCAATGCAAGCCTGAACAGTTCCATCCCTTGTGCATATGGGGATCCGCTTAGAGCGCCTAAATACAATGACCGGTCAGTGTCTTCCAGCAGTGGCTATGTAGTGCCGTCTCAGCACCCCGGCCATTTATCACCTTTAGTTCAATCCTATAGTTGTTGGTGGCTTATATTCACAACCAATGATTTCTGACGGTGTTGGAAACTTTTGATTTGTTATGTTTATGGGCGGTTTCATTGATTGCCTTTTACCCTTTTAAGTAGATGAAAAAATTATCCATTTTGATTTTGATGAGGGTAATTTTGGGTGTACACAATTAGTCATTAGATTCTTATAAAAAATAAAAAAAAGCATCCAAATTGACATACTCAACTCAACCATTGGCAAAGTGGTTTCGTCAAAAAAATAATCACAAGTGGTGCCAACGACAGTTGGTTGAGTTGGTAATTATCTCTTTTCGTTAGACTAAGGTTTAGGTTCGAGCCTCGATGTCAGCAATTCCTTAGTGGACGATTTGTAAAAACAAAAAAAAGGACTAAGACCTTCTATAAATCCTCAAAGAGGTGTAGGCCTTAGCTTGAGATGGGGTAGCCTTCCCCGCCCCACCCCACACCCCCACCCCCCCCCCCCCCCCCCCCAAACAACACAACACCAAAAAAAAACTTTTTGTCAACGAAAAAAGAGAACGTGGATTGTTATGGTGAATTGGTCCTTCCCGTTTAGACCACTGTGATCCGAATTCAAATCCTTCATTCTCCGTAATTTAGATGAGGTGGATTAACCAAATACCAAATACCAGTAAAGCAAAACCGCAGAAAATCTTTCATTTATACGTGTCAATTTCTTTATTTTAACAAAGGATGATACAAGTAAAGCATCCAAACTGACATACTCAACAATTTTGAGATCACTAAATATTATTTTCTACGGCCTCTATCTTAAAAAAGGCTATCAATTCCCGCGGCGCTCCATCCCTGTCGTGTACTCAAGCTCTGTAATTTCCGGTGCGATTAGGCAAAGACTCGTCCTTAGCCGCAACAAGAAGCAAATATAAGGTGCCTGATACAAATGTTATCTCAGATGAAATCAGTTTTTCAAAAACTAACTTGTTTGTGGCATTCTTGTTGTACTCGGAAACGGCCCACTCTCCAATCTCTGTCGCGTTTAAATCGATGCTGTCCATAGGCTTCCAGGTACCGGGAACGTTGTTTGTTGTAGTGGCGGTTACCAGAGAAACCAGTAGAGCAAAGAGTGCGAGGAAGAAGCAATGAGGATGCATTTTGTAAACAATGAGTTCTGTTCAAGAAGCAATAAGACTCGAGACAATTCCTATTGGTGCATGGAGAATTCTACAACATAGGGTCAAATACTTGTTTAGATATTAGATGAGCATGGATATTGTGCACTGAATCGGGACAGACTGGCTGGTATAGAAAGTAACAATTGTCAAGATGGATAAGGTGCGACATTTTTCAAATGACCGGTATTCAAGCGGACGCTTCATATGTCATAAAATAGACATGGAGAAATACGAATAAATATATTATTTTTTAAATGTAAAATTTGAGCAGTTAAATGTAATTATTTTAAAAATTAATACATTGTATTTTAACGCTTCCAAATGACTAAAATTGACTTTAAGTCACTTCTCCATACTCAGTACATGTCCAAATAAAATTTCTGTGCAAAAAATGACTAGATTCAATGCAAAACATTACACGATGCTCTAATTATTCAGGTAATTTAATTTTATTTGGAAAAGTAAAGATTTTAATAAAACCAAAACCAATCCTTTCCAAATTGTAAGATGAACGGAATCAGGAAGCAATGCATTCAATGTATAGCCTTGCTAGGACTATGAGTCTATCCATGATATATTTCAAAGGGAAAAAAATCTATAAAAACAAAAAAACGTTGAATTGTGGGTGAAAAAAAAAATTATGGTACTTGGTAGTTGGTACTTGTAACAAAAAAATGATGGCGCCCTCCTCCGCCGTGTTGGTTTAAAGTAAACGTTGATGAAGCATTCAACGCCACGACAAATACTGGGGTTATCGGGATTGTATTTCACGATGAAGCCGGTAACGCTGGAGGTTTTGCTCGCAAAATATCTCTACGTCACCTCCCCAAAAATTGTTGAGGTCCTAGCAGCTCGTGACGGAGTTTTCCTAGCCTTTGGAGCGGAACTGGCAGCAGATTTTTCTGGAGTTGATGCTCCGCAAGTTACTCAAGCACTGGACAGTGTGCATATGGGCTCCTCTGGCTTCGATTTAATTATTGAAGATATTAAAGCTTGTCTCACTGATTTTGCGATTTCAAAACTGTCATGTTCGTAAAACTGCCAATACAACGGCCCATAGATGGGCCAGGTTGGTCTTAATTTCTAGTTATTCAAGTTGTTGGTTTGATGGGGACATTATTGCTAGTTCATTGTAAAGCTAAGCTCATCCCCTCCCTCTTAGTATAAATAATATTGTTTGTTAAAAAAAAAAAAAAAAAAAAGGAAAGAAAGAAGTGAGCTCCATAAATAATCCAGAATGTCCTCCTTAATTGTAATTCCCCATGATGATGAATAAAATTGTTATATTGTTTCTCTAAAAAAGAAACGGTAGTATTTGTAACGGTGATGTTGTAAACGTACCAGCACTCCAAACTATACTAATACACTGTCTTTGTTTTTTTAGCAAACGATAGTATCTACACAAAGAAGTGAAGGAGTGAGCTAAGCCTTACAATAGGCTTGCCATAATAATATGGTTCAATTTTGCCCATGACAAAAATCAAACCTAAGACTTCTTACTCACAAATGAAGAAGAATACCACTAGATTGTAGTACTAAATGGCACACTATATTTTAACGCACCCAAGCGACTTAAATTGGCTTTAATCTTCTGTACCCACTTCTCCATACTTAATATTTGTGTCTGAATAGAATTATCGTGAAAAAAAAAAATGACTAGATTCAATGCAAACCATTACGCGATGCTCCAAAATTAAATTCAATGCAAACCGTTACGTGATGCTCTATTTATTTGGAAAGTACATATTTTAATAAAACCAAAATCCATCCTTTCCAATTTTTAAAAGATATATGGAATCGAGCAGCATTCGTTGTATAGCTTTGCTATATAAAACGATAAGCACCAGAAAGAAGATCTGTACACTTCGATTTGCTTTACTGAGAACCGAAAACCTACTACGATGCGTCCTCATTGCTTCCTCGCACTCCTTACTCTGCTTACTCTTCTTGCCGCGGTGCCCGCAACGAAGAAAATAGGTCCCCCGTGGAAGGAAATTAAAGACCTCAAGGATCCATATGTGATAAGCATCGCAGAGTGGGGGGTCTCAGAATACAACAAGAATGTCACAGGCACAAACAAGTTAGTGTTTCAAAGTGTGACTTGGGGGGTAAGCGCGTTTATCTCAGGCACGTTTTATGGGCTGGTCATTGCGGCAAAAAATGAGTCGTTAACTATCCCACCAGAAGAGTATAAACTCAGTGTATGGGACCAATTTCTAACCAGGCGTTTCAGGGGCTTAATAAAAGGCCATTATGTTTAGTTATTCAAATTTAAGGTTTAGTGTCTGTTAATTTCAATAACTCTCGCCTTTGGTTTATAATAGAGACTGTTCCGAATGCAGAATAAAAGTTTGCCCATATTTTCTTGTGCTCTATATTTTATTTGTGCATACGTAAAGACATATCTATTACAAAAACAATTCATACGTGTACTTTATGCCTTGCGCGTTCTCTTTTACATAACGCGTGTTATACGCGACATACAGAGTTTTATTAAACATAGGCACTATGTGCCCCTAAAATCTTTTAAATTAATATACAATGTTTATTTGTAATCTTGCTCGAAGTCCCTCTATCTTTTACTTTAGATTATATTTCTCTACTGATTTCTTCCTTTGTTAGGCTTTTATCTATCATGGGTGTTGCGCGGCCCTAGAATTTATGAGTTTATTTGTAATCTTGCTCCAACTCCCTCTATCTATTTTTTACTTTTGATTAATCTATAATTTGTAATTTCTCTATTGATTTCTTCTTTTATTTTTTATTGGTAGCATTTTTTTTCTCATTGTTTTCCTCTCACATTATATTCTGCACGTAAAAACATAATTAAAATCATTAAAACAATGGTAGAACGCTAGTCATAGGTCTTTTGTACCTATTAAAACTAACAATGATGCAAAGCAAATCAAATAGTGTGTAAAGAAAAGAAAAAACCACCCCAATCAAATATAATGAACAACAAAATTACATGAAAAGCTAGCATGTAAAAAATAAAGAAAACTAATAAAAAGGACTTCAAAACTTTTAATTAAAAAAAAAAACCATCTAATAACTTTATTTAATGATAAGGACAAGAGGAAAAAAAACACTTATCAAATGCGCATGCAGTCTCCTTTGCCGCTACATCTTCCAACCGCTTCTTTTTCCAGTACTCATCAACTGGGGTCCAAGCAACTCCACTCATGGTTGCTCCAATATCTATTTTACAACACACACCTCTATATATGTGTACTATATAGATACACACACATACATACATACACACCATACTACATACTATATATTATGGACATATGAAGTAGCGAAGAGTACCTTGTGCAACTTGATTTACCAAGCCACTACCTTTTATACCTATAATTTTGATTTACATGGTGCACCATTGAGATGAATGCGATGTTCCCAACAATTTTCATCATCGAAACCGCCGGCCCGTGAGATGCTTTGGAAATTGTATGGTAACCAAAATTCAGGGTTTTTAAGTCCACACAGACATTGAAATGATTGAAGACTTAAGATGCTTTTGAAATTGAAGGACATGAAGTGGGGGCACGATATGGGCTCATGTCAATGGGTGTATTTGATTGTATTGATTTCATTTGCATTATTTTTTTAATTTGCAGAGGGAGAACGTGAGATTGTAGGTGGAGGAGAAGAGAAGCTGTAGATGGGCAGACAATAGAAGAAAATTAAGTAATTAATGTAGAAAGTTAAGAAATTGAAGAACTGGATTCAGAACAAGTATACCTGCAAATGGAAGAACTGGACAGTTTGGATCAGCAGGAAGCCCTACACCGGTGCGCGATGCAAGCCTGAACAGTTCCATCCCTTGTGCCTATAGGGATCCGCTTAGAGCGCCTAAATACAATGACCGGTTAGTGTCTTCCAGCAGTGGCTACGTAGTGCCGTCTCAGCACTCCGGCCATTTATCATCTTTAGTTCAATCCTATAGTTGTTGGTGGCTTATATTCACAACCAATGATTTCTTACGGTGTGGAAACTATTGATTTGTTATGTTTATGGACGGTTTCATTGATTGCCTTTTACCCTTTTAAGTAGATGAAAAAATTATCCATTTTGATTTTGATGAGGGTAATTTTGGGATGTTTGTTGGGTGTAGACAAATAGTCATTAGATTCTTATAAAAAAAAAAAATAAAGCATCCAAATTGACATACTCAACAATTTTGAGATCACTAAATATTATTTTCTACGGCCTCTATCTTTAAAAAAGGCTATCAATTCCCGCGGCGCTCCATCCCTGTCGTGTACTGAAGCTCTGTAATTTCCGGTGGGTTTAGGCAAAGACTCGTTCTTAGCCGCAACAAGAAGCAAATATAAGGTGCCTGATACAAATGTTATCTCAGATGAAATCAGTTTTTCAAGAACTAACTTGTTTGTGGCATTCTTGTTGTACTCGGAAACGGCCCACTGTCCGATCTCTGTCGCGTTTAAATCGATGCCGTCTATAGGCTTCCAGGTACCGGGAACGTTGTTTGTTGTAGTGGCGGTTACCAGAGAAACCAGTAGAGCAAAGAGATGTTGTGCGGAAGCTTTAAATATGAAAGCAAAGCTAATACGGCAAAATATTACAAGACAAATAATCCAAAAAGACACAAGGATTTATACTGGTTCGGCGTAAGCCTACATCCAGTTTCGAGACGGCGAGGAAATTCCACTAATATCAAAAGGAGATTACAAATAGAGTTTTAACTCTCAAACCCAAATCCCACATACAACCAATAGCTCTCACTCAAACTAAGAAACAAATGGAGAAGAAGAAACACATATCAAAATCCTTCTCTCCCAAAAGCTACACAAGTAGCACCAACATCTTTGATTGAGTGATTACTAACAAAATGGGATTATTACAAATGGTGGGAAGGAGCAGCTCATATTCAAATGGGAGAGCCGAATGCTCTCCCTGGTTTCTCTCATCTGCCGCTCCCCCACTACCAAAGGCATAACCAAATGCCTTAATAT